TAATTATTACCTGTAATATTCTGGAGGAGCTGCAGGTGGTGCATAATAAGGATCAGGATCATCGATATATCTTTCTGGTGTAAGTCTTGGTGGTGGTATTCTTCTAGGTGCCTCTCTAGGTGGCCACCTTTCAACAGGTGGTTCTGGACTAGCTGCTCTTACATAATATCCTGCTTCTCTATCTAATTCATCTTGTCCTAAGCTTAAATTCATTTTCTTTTCCTCAAAGTCCATATCTGATTCTTTACGTTTATTTGCTTTACGCATCATCTATGAAAATAGATAAATAAAAAATATTTATTATAAAAATGTCTTATAAAAATTATGTTATAATTATTTTAAAAAGTGTTTTGCTTAAAAATATTTTTATTAGTTGTGATAATATGAAAAACATTAAGCCTTAAAGAATATATGCATTATGAAAAAAAGTAATTTTTCTAATATTATTTGAAGCTTTCAATATTTTTTTTAAAAATTCAAAATCATTTCTAGATTAAATTAACTATTAAATTGTTATAATAATAGAAAAAAATTATCAAATAAAATAAATTATATAAGAAATATATTTGATGACTAAAAACTCAAAAAGAAAAGAAAGAAAATATCTTGCACAAATTTTTATTAATATATTTTTTAAAATTGCTCAAGTTATATATAAAATGTTTTTTATACAATTATATGTAATAAGTATTGAAAAAACAATAAATGGTTTCTTTAAGATAAAGCAAATCTTAAAAGCAAATCAAACATAAACAAAATGTAAACTTACTTCTTTAGCATGTCGTAATCCACGTTCCCATGCAGATTCTGTAGGAAGATCTTCTATTTTTGGTGTATGTGGTGGTGCTCCATATCCAGGTAATGGTCTTACTATATTTGGTCTATCAATATGTGGTCTAAATTCATGTGGAGCAGCCACTGTATGTGGTGGGTATGCCATTGGCCTTACCATATCAAACATGGTATAATTACCCTTATCAGTTACACCTGGATGTAAAAATCTACAACTAACTCCCCATGTACATTGACCTCGGTTATAAAAACGGCAAACAGGTCTTGGTTCTGTTTCTTCTGGTCGAGCATCATCGCCATCGCTAAGTTCCCCTTCTTCTAATTCAGATTCTACTTTTTCTCCATCTTCTTCTCCTTCTTCTTTATCATTTACATCACTATCTTTTAATTTCATTTTATCCTTATCTTTATCTTTTCCATCTTTTTCATCTTTGTCTTTATTTTCTTTAATAATAGGTCCTTCTGCTTCACCTAAAGATAAATACAATTTTTTAAATTATATTTTATTTGAATTCAAGTAATTTATAAATTATTTACCTTCATCTCGTTCGTCTTTCCATTGACCATCAGCTTCAAAATCTAACTGTTCGCTTTCTTCTGTTAATCCAACAGGTGCATGTTTATCTTCTTTTTCTATTTTTTCAGTAATTAAATGTTTTTCTTCACATTGTTGGTTTTCTTTGAGCATTGATTCATGTTCAGGACCATCAACTCCATCTATACTTTCTAAATCAGAAACATCTGATAAATCTTCACCATGTGTAATCGGTGTAGGTTTTGATTTAGTTATTGATTCAGGTTCATCTTCAATATCTCCATCAGAAATTTGTTCTCCATCCAATTCATTAAATGAAGTTTTTGTTGGTGGGGAATGAGGTGGTGAATGTTTTTCTGATTCTTGATCATCCATAGGAGATGCTGGACCTGATTTTGGAGAACTTCTTCCAGACATTAATGATTTTGCTGAACTACGTCCAGATCTCGGAGATTTTGGTGAACTTTGTCTTGATTCACTATTTTTATAAGAATATGATTTAAGAGAATTATCTCCAGATCTTTGTGCATCTACTTCCAGTTCAAATTGTTTAGGTTCTGTATCATCAAGATGCAGAGATTTAGAATCAAGAGGAGTAGATGGGCATGATCTTTCATCTTGTATAGGAGAATGAGATAAACTCTGATCACTTCTTGGGGAATCCAAAGAATTATTTCCTGAATGATATGATTTTGGTGAAGTAGGTGGCGATTTTGATAAACTACGAGTTGATCTTGGAGAACCCACTTCACTAGGAGATACTAATCCAGATCTTTGAGATTTTGGAGATATTGGTGTATATCTTGGAGATTTTGAGTCTCTTTCTGATAAAACAGATTCAGGTGATTTTTCTCTTGAAGAAATGGAACTTGCTCTAGATTTATGTCCAGACATAGATGAATGATGTGAAAAGTTTGGTGATGCCACATTGTCAGCAGGTGTAACACGATCTCTCCTTCCATCATAACCCTCCGAAGAGGAACTTTCTGAACCAGAGTCTGACATGATGAATTATTCTAACCTGTAAATAAGTTATTCTTTTACAATATGTACAATAATGATTTGACAAAAAATGGGACCACTGCTTAAACAAATTGTTAATTTCCCTTACTTGAGAAGTGAATTTTTTAGCCGAACCGACCAAATGTAGCACTGAAAAATCTGCATCTGTAGCATCGCAGGGCTTACCTGTATCAATAAGAGCCTGTGCAGTACTTGCTCTTGAAGGCACAACGCGAGCAATCCATACCGTGTCGAACATACTTTTTATATCACGTTGATAACTTTTTTACTAATAACTTTTGTACTTTATACTTAAACTGAACTTTTTTCACATTTACAAGACATACTGTTAATTTTCAAGATTTCTTGCCCCGAACTTTTTGTTTTACGTTTTAAACTTTCAACTCGAACACAACACAAACTAAGAAATACCGGTAAACCGCAAACTGTTATGTACTGCACTAGAAACTATAACGAACGGACTTTCAACCTGTAAGAATGTCTTTTGGGCATGGAAAAAGAAAGAACAAAAGGAAAAGGAAAAATTTAGGAAAAGAAAAACTAAAGCATTGTACTTATCATCATATATAAATAAAACCATATAAAACAAGAATCATTTAACTTAATATTATAAACAAATTATATAAAAAATAATATAAACCAAATAGCAGTAGTCAGTAATAAGAAAATTGACGTAATTTCTAAATTTGATATTAATAAATATATATGAAATAATGCAAAAAAAAATATTTATTATAAATTAAACAATGTTTATATAAATTTCTTAACTAGGAAGTAATTCTCTGATAATATTATAAAATAAAAATATTTAATATCTATAAATATTAATCTAATCCAATAGCATATAAAAATTACTAATCATATACGATACAGATTGCAGTAATAATATTTAAAAGCTAAGTTAAAGTTTATTTCATGAGAATTACCAATGTTTTATTAATATTATAAATTATAATCAAATTAATCTCAGTTAGTGTTAATAAATTTATATATAATATTCATTTCTAAACTTAATAGAAATTATAATATTAATTTCTAAATAATAAGAATTTAAAATCATATTTAAAAAGAATTTTTTAAAGATTTTAACATTAAATTTAATATCCACTAATTATGAATAATATGATATATTGAAAATGTTAATACTTATATGTATTTATAAATCATAAAAAAATAATATTTGGAATATAGTCCCACGTAAATGAGTGAATATATACGCATATAGACGCGCGCGTCTGTGTATGTACGTGAGTGAGTGAGTGAGTGAGTGAGTGAGTGAGTGAATGAGTGAGTGAGTGAGTGAGTGAGTGAGTGAGTAAATGAGCGAGCGAGCGAACGAGCGCACGAGAGAGAGAGAGAGAGAGAGAGAGAGAGAGAGAGGGAGCGAGAGAGAGGAGGAAAGGGAAAGAGGGTAGTAATAGTAATAGTAATAGTAATAATAATATAACAATAATAATGGTGGTGGTAATTTTATACTATAAATAGTTTTCACATACCATTCATGAATTATATTTCTTATTTCATAGAATATACAAGCAATTGCTTATAATCCGTAATAAAATTTTAAATCAACACATTCACATAGGACTATATGTATCTATGCACAAATATAATTTTGAACATTACCAAATACAAAAGTAATGAAGAAAATTAAAATTAATATACAATAAAACAAAAATTTTTAATTATTTTAAAAAGCGGTTATAATCCTATAATACGCATTAGTTATTAAATTAAATTAACTCCAAGTTCCTTTAAATATTGTAAATATTTTTGAGGTTAACAATGTAATATTATTAAATATTATTGCAAACCAATCTGTAGAATTTTAAACGAGGAATGTCATAGAATTTCATATATAAATTATAAAAAATATATTGCTGAAAATATCTCGTGGAATTCTTACCTTTGTCGCACGTATGTCTGTGGGCCTTTCGAGACTTTAAGACTCCGAGGCTTAAGGTGGCCGGCGTCACTCAAGTATTACGAAATAAAGTTTTCGTTTTTGTTATTCTTTTAATGTTTTTCTGATTAATTTTATTCCAAAATTAAATAATTTTACGTTTCGAATCAATTATTTATTGTAGGCTTTTAAACAGGACAATGCACAAACGAAAAATCTCATAAAGCGCAAAAACCGAAAGACCTTCTGGATTGTAAACCATTGATTATTCTTAAGATAGATAGTAGTCACACCCTGAAACTATATATCTTTTGTTCTTCTGCTTATTTTTGAGATTTTATTAGTTGGCAACAATGATTTAACAATATAAATTCACATAAGATTTATGATTAAAAATTGAATGTATTGAATAAAATTGAATAAAATTTTATTTACATAAAAAAATATAACGATATAATAAATATTTACTATTTTCATTATTCATCTTTCATAACTTATATAAAATCTTTAATTAATTTTAAATCGAATTAATTATTTACAATATTAATACAATCATTTGTCAAAACTTAACCAATTACATTCTAATTTTTAAATTGAATTTTCTAAATTAATTAAAAGAAAAAAGAATATTAATATTTATAAATAATACAATATATGAAAGAGTCATTATTTAATTAGTATTTCTTTTATTGTGTAAATTAAATTATATAAATTTTAAAAAGATAATATTAACAACATTAAATTAGACTTTTAAATATCGCATATTTATTAAACTAGAAGATATAGCTAAAAATTGTGTATATAATTTAATCATATGATAAAAAACTTAATATAGCCAAGTTATTCTTTCTGAATTAGAACGATCCATCATTGACATAAAATCAGTACGTTCATTCATTAATATTTGTGTTAATTTTGTAGCAAAGGTTGGATTTGTTTTTATTTGTTGAAGTAACCATTCTATAGGAATTCTGAAATTAAATCATTTTATATTAATTATATTAAACAATTAATTTATTATTTTTAGTTTCATATTTTTTTATTGTTGAATATACGAAGATAATTTGATAAACTTAAATTAATAAAATAATTAAATATGTACCCCTGTGGAAAATAGCGTAGAAGTATCGATAAAATTCGTTCATTTTTATTAATTTTTGGGACATCAATAATATTTTGTCTTTTTCCAAAACCATATGCTGTAGATATATATTCAGGTTTAAAACCTCGAATTACTCGTGGTCCTGCATGATGCTTTATGAAATGAGAATAATTATAATTTCTTGATGTAGCTATAACAATCCCAGTAGCAAAAGCCAAAACAATGATGATGCTTGTTCGCATATTTCCTGTATTAAAAAAAAAAATTTATATATATATATATATTTATTATATTTATATATTTTATATTATTTATATTTGTAAAAATTATATATAAAATTTAAAATTATATACAAAATTTTTATATAAAAGAAACAAATGGATTAATAAAAACATAATTAATATAGAATAATTAATGTGAAAATATAAATAATTGTTATACAAATATGATTTTATTAATTGAATTGTATAATTATAAATATTATCCATATGTTTCTTTTTTTTTTTTTTATTATAAATATATTGTTAAATTATAGGAACGAAATATTAAATTATATATTAAATGATATATAAGCCAATAATTTTAAATTTGAGATTATAAAATGATTATAAGATTATAATAATATTAAAGAATTTACAGTACAAATTTAATATTAATATAATTTCATTCCTATTCTGTAATATTTGAAGCATAAATTATATCATTATAGATATGATGAACTTCTTATGAAATATATTAAATTGTAAAATTGAATTGAAATTCAAATTTATACATATCACGATTATAGATAAAAATTATAATATAAATATAAATTATACTTATATGCATTTATATTTTTTAATTACTTTTTAATTACTTACATAATATTATTTCAAATATATATCTTTTAATAAGATTTTTTTTATTATTATACTTACATTGAAATATATATATACACATATTAAAATAGAAATAATATATTTTGCAAAATAATATAATATATACACATTAAAATAGAAATAATATATTATACAAAATTATTATTAAAAGATAATATAATATGAAAATAAATTATTATTCTTAATATTATTAAAGATATAATAAAGTATATATGTATTTTTAATATCACAACATTTATTTAAAGTTTAAAATATAAAATTTTAATTTTTTAATTATAAATAAGATATGTAACTGCACGTATGAGCAAGAAAGACTGAGCTCGAAATTTATCGCAGTCTCTTTTGTAGCAAGTCACCAGCATCGCCGTTACAGCCGCCGCTGACGGCGTCAACAGCGTTCAAGCCGCCCATGTAACTATCAAACATATTATTATATAATTTCTTCGTTAAAGAATTTAATAAAGTTTGAAATGATTTATAATATATTAGAAAAAAATATTTTAATTTTATAAGCTTTCTAATAATTATATAAATATTTTATTAAATATTTAAAATTTTGTTTTCTTTTAATTTATAAAGAAGAAAAGCGGCCGTCAACATTTCTAGTTTGTAGCAACGGCCGTTTTAGCCGGCAAAAATCGTTCAGATTATAACCATTTATGTTATTTATCTTATAAATAAGAAGTATAATATAATATAGAATGTATTATAAAATAATCATAACATTTGTTTGAATTTAAAAACAAATATTTTATTAAATTTTAAAATGAAAATAAGATAAAAATCATTTGATAAGCGCCGTAACGCCGCCGCTTGTAGCGTGTTCAGCCGCCAATGCGTATATAAATTCTTATTGCGGATATGAGCAGCTACAATTTCAGATTTACTTGAATTTTGAAGAAATCTACATTACTATATAAATCCATATAACTATCTATCTATATATAAATGTCTATAAGATTATATTAATGTTAACTAAAAATTATATTAATATTAATAACATGTGATAAATAATATTTCAATGTAAGAATTTTTCATAATTTTTCATTTCGTTAATATCATTAATAATTTTTTATCTTTATTTCATTTTTAATAAAATATAAACAACTTGTTAATTATTATAATCTACTTAGAATATATAAAATAATCATAAATATTTTAATTGAAAATAATATATAATTTAATTTAAATATTAAAATAAAAATTAAAAAAAAATGAAAAAATTTAAAGAATTTCTTATTTTTGTACCTTAATGTTGCCAATTATGTATAAAAGAATTACTGGAAAAATAATAATATTTAATAATTAATTTATATAAATAATATATTCATAAATTAAAAAATAATTATAGATTTTTATAATAATAATAAAATTTTATTATTTTCCATTTTTTAACAAAAATTAGTACAATTATCTATACGTAAAATACATTTATATACAAATTATGAATTCACATGTATATAGAAAATATATATAGAAAATAAATGATATTTATTTTTTTATTCTAATGTAATGCAAATTATTTTTTGTTAAAAAATTATATTGCATTTGTAAAATGTATATATAAAATGTAAATACATGTACATATAATTCTATTTTGTACATACATGTATAAAATATAGATCTACATGTGAATACATGTACAAATTAAATGATATTTATTTTTTTATTCTAACATAATGTCAATTATTTTTAGTTAAAAAATTATATTATATTTAATTTTTATATTTTATTTAGATGTTTTTGCTTGAAAATGATCCATGATAATAATAGGTATTTCTTTAAGTATAAGTGATCGTGATATACCAGAATATTTTGTAAACAGTTCTAAAATATGTAAAGTATTAGATATCTCGGATTCTCCATCACTTCCTGCTTTTACACTGTAATATGCAATAATATTAATGTAATGAATATTTTATATAATGATAATGAATATTTTTTATATTTCATATTATATGAAATTTATATACCTATCTGAAGTAACACACGAAAGGATGTATATACAAAGATATTTAACATAACGCGTCATTGCAGAAAAAGTACATTGACGTAAAATAGTTAGTATTCCAATAACAAAAATTACAGCATCAAGAGGATCTTGAGGTCTTTTACTCAAAAGACTTCCTATGATCATTTTATAATTAGCATATGATTAATTTATATTCTTTATATATTTATATAAATTAAAATTTTATGAATATTTAAATTTTTTACCTGTGTTTTTACAATAGTAAAGTTTAGGTAATTGTAATATAGTAAGTAAAAACATAATGAGAGCAATATTATTTATATTTGGCGATTTAATATAAATATTATTATGAGGATTATTTATACCAGCCCAATCTAATCTGATATTAAGTTCACGTAGTAATTCTTTTTTTTCAATTTCATTTTGTTCATTATTATTTTGCTTATTAATTTCAAATAATATAGCTCTACAAATTATAAAAATATGAAGAATAAGAAGATTAATATAAGAAGAAAGTATTTTTTTAAGTATTTATGCATACATATTTAATGTTTGTAATGCTGCTTCCATATGCTTTGCTTCAAATTTACAAGCAGTATTCAATTCATATGCTATTTTTTTCTTAAGAAGTTGATAATGCCCAATTTTTAATATCCATTCAAGTAGTTGAGGACAAAATTTATTTGTTTGAGTAGTACTGTGAAATTTTGATATATTACCTAAATACAAATATTTAATAAATGTTATTATTATTAAATGTTTATTATTATTATAGTAATATAAATAATATAAATAATATTATATTATAAAATAATAGTACCTTTAGGACCATCCACAGAATTCAATATTGTATCAAAATGATCAATTGTAGATGACCACATTTTATTATGAATATTTTTTTCTATATAGTGTATCATACTGTTTAATTCAGTTATAATGTAAAATGAAATAAGTTTGTCAAGACCTGTTAAACCAGGTGTACCAATTGCTTCCAATGTTTTTGAAAAAATTTTATAATTTAATACTTCTGTTTGTGTTTTAAGATCATACCAGGCAAGAGAATGTTCAATATAGATAGTTGTTCTAAAAATAATGATTATATATGAATACTATTTAATAATTTATTCGAATTATAACTGAATTATAAATTTATATATTTAAAAAAACAAATAGTTTAAAAGATAAATGATAGAAAATAATGATATTGAATAATATTGATATTGAAAAAAGATTACAATTTAAATATCTTTAAAAAGAAAAATGTACCTAGGATCTGTAATTCGAAGTAACTCACGAGCAAGTCTACCAATAAAAGTAGTAATGTTATTGTCTGAAATAGAAACATGTTTTTCTTCTTGGAAATATCTCCATGACTTTTCTGAAGTCCAAGAAGAACCAATACATTCTTCTTCCACTGCATTATTTATAATATATGTTATCTAGAAATACAAAGGAATAAATCGTATATTATATACGAATTTATATTAGCATAAATGTATTAAATATTTAAAAATTTACATACTTCTTCATGCCATATTTTTAAACTATTAATGTTTATATAATCTTGAATATACTGAAACGATTTGCGATAACCATCTATTATTGCTGCTAAATTATGAAGTTTTTGTAACAATGATATCTGGAATGACTTACTCTTAATTAATCACAAATTTTAATAAAATATTTTAATAATAATCAGATTTAAATTAAAATTTACTTTTGATTTTGGTTCAAAAATAAGACCACTATCTAAAGCCAATGTTACTTTTTTCACAAGTTCTTGTCGTATACCATCTTCTAAAAGACGATGAGAATCAACTCTTAACACACCTAATGGAACACTTCTTAAAGATAATACTCCCTTTGTAAATACTGATACAGCATATGTTAATTTAGCCATCTAAAATAATTCTTTATTATTATATATGAAAATAAGAAATTTAAGTTCATTTTGAATTTCATTTAATTTATATTTTTAGAAAAAACAAAATTAAAAAAATATATATACTTTTAATCTATCATCTAATTGTGCATAATCTTTCAATTTATCTTTTGGCAGTTTAGTAGGAATTTCTTTAAAAGCATTAGTTTCAAGATACACTATTTCAGCAAGTAAACCAAATACAGTTTCGGGTATTATTTGAAGAACGCGTCTTGCATATTTTTCTAATTCTCTACTATAATATTGCGATACTGATGATAAATCTGCACTCCGTGCTTGATTTACTCTTAACAAAGGAGTTTCTAAAGCTGAAGCCATCTGAAATAAATTAAATATAAATATTTGAATAACAAAAAAAAAATAAAAGTATATCATGATAAATAGAAATTTAATTAAAAATTTAAGTTAAAATTTACTTTTAAAAAAAGTGCTTTTAATTTTATCACAGTAGGAGGATTTTCTTTTATGCTAGCTTGCATAGTATCAATAAATGATTCCATTATATTCCATGCATAACAACAATCTGTCACTATATTCAAACTTATCATAGTATCTTCTGTTATATTTCCTGTGCGCAACATATTATGCAATATTTCCCGTGTATCAGCTAAATATTGCGATATATGTAAATTATTTTCTAATTGATGAAATTCTGGAATTATTATATTTAAAATTCAATATAATGTCAACATATAATATGTTAATATTAATAAATTTAATTCAAAATAAAAAATTGAATCGATTTACAATTTGCTTTTTATTATACTTTTTATTATATACTATATTTTATTATATACTATACCTTGTACTTCTTCTAATGCTTGTACCAACTGCACTATTTTTCTTGCATCTTCTTGTTGTAATGAATCAATATGTTTACTTATCTCTAAAAACCAAGCATGTAGATTTTGATTTCTTTCAATACCATCGAGTGATTTATTACCTCCAAATATTTGTGCAAGATCTGTTATACGTTCAACACATGTTTCTTTATCTCTAAGCCATTTAGTTTCTTTACCAAATAATAACTAGAAATTAAAAATAAATTTAATAAAACTTTTCCATATAATAACATAATGCAAAAATTATTAATCATACTTGTTTATATAAATGTTTAACACTTTGCTCAATCTGAGCAGTATTTAATAACAATTGAAGACAATGGGATATATTATATTTGCTTTCAGTTACTATCAATTGTTTAAGCATACGTGATCGTTTTGAATCTTCTAATGATATAGTTGACACTGCTGTATGTAAAAGTATCCAATGTAATGTTACATTGCATTCCCTTACTAATTTTACTAGAGACCCTATTGCACTTTCATCTAATGTCACTGCTAATTGCACTTCTTCTGTTTCAGATATTAATTTCTAAAATAAATATTTAATATAATTATTAAAAATTATTATATAATTATTAAATATATATATATATATATATATAAATCTATTTAATTTTTATTTATTTATATAATCTAATTACCTTCATTTTTTGACCATAGTTTTGTGCAATTATTTTTACATTTGATGATTCTAAAGTATTATTGAGAGCTGTTCTTGCTGCTTTATATGGTAACCACCAATCACATAAATTTATTACTATTCCCATATAAATACTGATTACCCAGTTATCAGGAAAAAATCTATCTACTATTTCCCTCATTATAGCTGTATGAGTATGTAACATGATTGGCTTAAATGATAAAATTATAACTAACATTGATGCTTGATTAGAGAGAGCAGTACTACGATGTTCTGGATGTGGAAAAGCAAGGCTTTGATTATATATTTCATCAGAACGTAAACGTCCAATAATATGTTCAATTAAAGAATCATTTAATGATACTCTTCTGTAAAATTTTTTAAAATAATATTAAAGTATATCACTATGAAATGAAAAAATTTTAAAAACATACTTAAAATAGTCTTCAGGATAATTTGCAGGTCGTTTATTAGAAATTTTAGAAAATCCTGTTGATCGCAATAACATACATACATCATCTACTCTTGTAGAAGATGAACGTTGAGCATTGTATCGATAATAGGATACAAGTAATCTTTCTCTTATACATCCTTCGAAATGATAATCAACCAAAAGTAACATAACTCCATATAAATATACTGCTTCACACTATTAATATAACAATAATTTTTATTTTTTTTAATTTAACTTATAATTATAAGTAAGTAATATATAAATTTATAACTATAACTCAATTCTTTAATAAATTAATAAACTAATAAAATTTCAAAAATTTTTATATAAATAATATATAATAATTACAAAATAATTATTAATAATTTGTAATATTTTATAACATTAATTATTTATAATTTTTATTAATATTTTTTTTAATAGTTTTAAATAAAACAAACTATTATCTACTATTATCAAACTATTAAATAAAAAGATTTAATACTTAATATAAGATTAGTAAAAAAAATATAATAAAAGTATAAAGAAAATAATAGTAAAAATAAAATTTATAACATATTGAAAAAGATTATATATTCTATTTTCAATTACTCATTACTTAAATTTAAATTTAATAAATGATAAGAAATAGTATAATTTTATTGACACATTTTTAATTGTAAATAATATTTATAAATTATATAATAATACCATTAATTGTCTTCCTTCTTCATTGAGCATAATAGTATCTATAGATTGATGAATATATATTCCATCTCCTAATTCATCTACATAAAGATTCAAATCTGTTATGTATTTGTGCACACTTTCAAAAGCTAAATAAAATCTTGAAATTATATCAGAAAAATTGTTTCGTAATTCTTCATCTGTTTCTTGAAGTATCTACAAAAAATATTTTTTATAGATAAAATAGATTTAATATAATTTTAAATAAAAAGTTTTATTATATAATAGAAATAAAAATAAATTGTATAAAGAAAATAATAATATCTAGATATATTAAACTCAATTAAATTTCATTAAAAAATAAAAGTAAATATTAAACTACATATTTATAGTCAATTATATATTTTTAATATTTAATCTGTACTTACTGGATCACTTTCTATTTTTTGTTCATAAGTACTAACAGATTTAAAATATATAAAATCAATTATAATAGATCCATATTTTTGTACAATTGGTTTTGAATCCAAACTGTAAAATAAAAAAAAAACTGTAATATATTTGTATAATATATTTATAATTCATACAATATCTATGCAATATCTATAATATTGTAAATCATATTTTAAAATTATTAAAATAATTATTATTAATAGTTTTGTGAATAATAATATTTATTTTATCAATAAAATATATCTTATATTTTATAAGGGTATAAATAACCTAAATACAGGTGGTACATAGTCCTTTAATCTCATTAATTCTGCTATAATAGCATTTCCACGAGATACTAATCGTAATAAATTTTGCGCACAAATATTATTAGATGTCAAAAAATCACTCATTTTGCATTTATTTATTTTAATAAGAGTAATTCTGATAATTTATAGACATCGTTCTAGCAATAAACGTCAACAATCTCGTTATGAAAGGATTAAGAAAAACTATCAATAAATTAATATAAAATATATTTAAATTTAATGAAAATTAATTAAATTATAAATTATTAATAAAAAAAAATTTCATTAAAATATTTTAAAAATACTATATTAATGATATATATTTCATGAATTCAAAAAATATCTAACATCGATAACATAACAGTTATCGTTAAAAAACAGTTTAAAATGCATAGAGATAAAAAAATATTTTCTTAAATATTAAATATCATTTATTAAGCAAATAAATAAGTGTTTTATATTTAATATTATATTATTCTACTAAAGGATTATTAGTTTTATCAATATAAAAATATTATATTTTCAAAATGTAAAATATAATTTTTTTTTAATTCTATTATTTAATCTTTAATCTTTTATAACTATTTTATATTATATCTTTTATGATAAAAAATACTTTATATTGTTGTATTTTATTTTCTATATCATTATAGCAAAACTTTTATATTTTATTTATTATATATATTTAAAATGTATTAATTTTTTAATTCAATATATATTTTAATTTATTATTGAAATAATATAATATTTTATATTTCAAAACATATTATTATAACAAAACAAATATTCATTTCTGTAATTATAAATAATCATATAAATAGAATGCTTAGTTTATGATATAAAGATCAATAATAATATAACCTAAAGTACAAACAATATATGAAGTATAAGGAATGTACTATTTTATAAATTAAATTAATTTCATTTCATGAAATAAATATAATTCAAATATTCAAACAAAATAAAAGAAATATAAATTGCTAAATATAATTAAAAAGAAAATGTATTAAAATTGTTTTAAAAAATTTAACTTGATAACTATATTTGATCATATGATTATAACGTTTTCAAATATGTTTTATAGAAGTGTATCAAATTCTATTTGTAAGTTACGAAAATTTGTTTATCAATCATTGGTACAAAATTCTAAATATGAAAATCCTATTTTTTGTAAATCTTTTCATTCTTCATCCAAATGTCTATTTCAAATAAAAAATACAAGGTATAACTTTATATAAATATTTATATAAAATTTATATAAAAAATACTAGTTTTCAAGTTATTTTGTTATAAAATGTTTAAATACTATTTCAATATACAATGATATTAAATTTTTAATATATTTTTATATTATTATATATATATTATATATATAATAAAATATAAAATAATATTATTATGTATATTTGTTTTACATATAGACAAAACGAAAAACAAAAAAATATAAATATACGAAATATAAATACAAATATACAAAATAATGTAATATTGTATAAGAATAATTCCAAAAATGATTTTATTTTATTAAAAGTGATTTTTTATGGATGGTGTATTTGTAATACACTGTGGTTATTAAATACTTATAACTCAAAATATATATCAACATTATTTGAAAATATATCTTGGACTCAATATTTGGAAAGAAATGGATTAAATATAATATATTTTATATATTTTGGAATTATTGGTAACTAATATTTATAACAATTCAATTTTTTATGTTTATTGACATTTATGTAATATATTAAAAATTTATTTATATCTATTTATTATTTATTAATGATTAGGACCTGCTGGTGCTATATTATTCTATATAATAAATCATAGATTTATAAAATATATTATTTTACATAAAGGTGGTAATAATGTATCAATAATTACCAATCATGTATTAAAAAATAATTATACTATGACACTTCCTATTAATAAGGTATATATTTTTATTTAAATTTATTATTAATAAAAATAATACTATTTTTATTTTATTTTAAATTATTTTAATAATTCAAAATATTTTATATTTCTTTATTTTTTTATACAATATATATTTTATTAAATAAATACATTTTTTTTTTATATTATATTTTTTTATTTTCAAGATAAAAATTAAATTTGCAAGAGATAAAATGACACATTATTTACCTATGAAAATTCAAGGTACAAGCTTTTATTATATTATTGATGGAAAAGGAACATTTTTAAATAAAAAATTATTTGATTACACAGTTGGAAAAGCAAAAAATTGGTAAAAGTATTATATAATTTATATATATTATAAATAAATTATTATGAATTAAATATATAATAATTTAATTTGTACATTTTTTTTTATTTTAATTATCTTGTGTGAAATAAAAAATTGTTAGGATATGATTTTAAAAATATGGTTTTTAAAATAATGATATAAATCATATAAATTTATAATATGTTTATAAAATAAATAATAATTACTATTCTATAACTAAATTTTCAATGTGTTAATATAGTAGATATATATATAATTACATTCTTTGTTTTGAAATTCAAATGAATTATGTATACAATATTATATAAACAGATTTACATTATATATATTGTTTTCAATATCTTTGTTTATCATAATATTTACATGAATATTTGCTTAAACGATCACTATATCCATCATCATGATATTTATCTTCTGCTTTATAATATACTTCAGGTGTGGATCCTACATGTCCTTGCCAATATTTTGTCCAATAAAAATCTTCTGGATTAATATCATGTGGATGTTTTGCATTTCGAAATACATGTACACAATATATAAGACTTCCTATCAATGTTAAGAATCCAAACACAAGAAATACTATTCCCAAAATCCTAAAAAAAATCCAAAATTTTTTTATATCAAAAAATAATATTAATTATATATATATATATATATATATATATATATAATTAAACATTATTCAAATTTATAATATTATTTTATAAAATTGGAGAAATAATAAGAGAAATAAATTACTTTTTTTTAAATATATACTTACCAAACTATCAATGGTTGAAAAAATTGAATGACTATAACAAAACCTAATGTAACAAGAATCAAACCAAGATTAAGAAGTAACATGAGACAGCAAATTCCTTTAGTATTTGGACAAAAAGGATTGGGTGTTGACATAGTTTCTATAATAATACCATCTTTTCTGGATGTATGAGATTTTGTAGAACCATAACTACAATGACTAGGTGCACGATGTCCTAATCTTGAACTTGGTGTTAAACTGTGATGCGATACATGGCTATTGATTAAATAATAAGTTTTATAATAAAATATACATATATAAAATATACATGTAAAACATTACACTTTATAAGTCATATTTATGACCTTATATCTGAAGTTGCTCTATATGCAGCACTTGTAACATATATATCTGAGCCATTGTCATATATGCTACTATGTGAAGTACTTTTTCTAAGAGGATGAAGACTATGTCTTGAAGATCCTGATAATATTGAACCACGGCTGTTATGTATATTTTGTGAATGTCTTCCTTCTTCTTTTTCATATTTTTCTGGATTTTTCTTCATTGATTTTATCTATAAAATTTAATATATATATCTATTTAATATTATAGTATATATAATATATAATAATATATATAATAAATATTATGAAATTTATATATACATAATATATTAATAATACACATATATATTAAAAAAAATTATATTTTTATATATAACAAAATATTTATATTAATATGTTATTAAAATTAATTAATATATTAATAAAATTATAAATCTATAATTAAAGATATAAATTATATATTGCAAATATTACCATTGTAGTATGTTCAGCAGATACAACATATTCAGATATTGTATGATCTGATGGAGCTTGATGGCTATCATTTCCATCTGTTAAATATTCTTTATTTATATTATTATGATATCCTAAACATCTTGAACTATTTGTCATTATGATATTTATATTTGCAATTTATCTAAAAAAAAAAAATCTTAAAAAATGTTTAGTATATTATTTTATTATTGATAAATAAAAATAAGTACAAAATTAATTATATTAATTAAAAATACATTATATTAAAATATAATATTTAATATATAATTTTTATATAAAATATATAAAAATTATATTAATTAAAAATATATAAAAAATTAAAGAATATATGTATTAGATAAACAGTTACACAATGGTTAATAGAAAGTATTGAATATTAAAGGAAATAAAATTTACAAAATTAAAACTTACTTAATAAATAATGAGTAATATAAAATAATATAAATTTCAAAAAATCTTGATTTTATATTTAGATATTACGTGTAGCATTACCTGTAAAAATTATTATATGATAAAAAATATTTATTAAAAACATTTTTCAAAATTATTATATTATTTCATTTTTTTTTATTAATATATATCATAGAATAATATATTATAATTATTATTTGATACAATGAATGTAAACATTGAATTTTTTAAAAATGATATAATGATGATAATAGAAGTATTTTTCTTTAAATCTATAATATCTAAAATCATTTAATTGTGATAGAATTTTTTAATTGTTTGTTTCAACTCATTTGTTACAGTATTGAAATCCTAATTTAGTAACATGATGTCATTTGTCAAGATCATATGCATTTTCAATCAATAATATGATGATTTAAAATGAAATTTTTATTTTTATTTTAAATATTTATTTTTTAATTTATAATTTTTGTTGATTAATATATATTTTTAAGATTTTATATCAAAATGTTTAAATTTCTATGATTTCTATGATTCGAGAATAATTTTAATTAAATAGATAAAATAAAAAAATTAAAATTAAAAAAAGATATATTTTTATTATATTAGATAAATATGTATTTTTCAAAATTTTAATATATATATTATTTATTAAGTATAATGCATCACATTGTGCAATTTTGTATATTACGAAAATTTTGAAGGATAACATTAAATGTACCTGCGCAAGCGCCATAAATCATGTCATCTTAGAACCAAACACATATTCATAATATTGACTAATTTATTTAACATATTATATATAAAGAATTATATTTAATTGAAAAATATATATAGAAAAATAATATATAAATTACTATGTAAATTATTACTTTAAGATCATTTACTTAGTAAAACTGATTTTTATAAATATCATACCTGAAGTATTCATGACGAACAAGCTTGTTAAAAATTAAAAATTTTATGTATAGAATCAAAATTTAGATTTCATGTAATTATTATTTTTTATATTATTTATAATTACAAATTTTTATTCACATAAAAATTCTTTCGTTTCGTTAAAAAATATTGATCAAATATAATATAATATTGGTACATAGTGATTTTAGAAATAGTATGATATTAATGATATTGTTGGATATATTATAACAAAACACTTTAATAAGAAATTTCAGTATTAAAATATATATACGAAATGATTTTAAATGATTTAATTTAAAAGTCACTGATTTATTCACTTTCGATAAGTATAGATAAAATATAACTGTGCACGTTACTGTAGCTTTCACATTAATGTGAAGATTCTGAGCGAAAGGTGTATTTATTGCAAATGAAAACACTTCGTGACGCCTTTAAAAGGCAAGGCAAAAAGCTATCTTGTTTTTCTTCAATATTATTTTTTATTATTACAAAACATATTTTATATTTCAATTAATAAATAATTTTTTTAAATTGTACTTTTTTTATCGTAATAATTATTATAATTAATTATTATAGATGATATTATGGTGATAATATTTTATTATTTTATTTATTAAATAATATACATATATACATGTCTGTGTATGCATATTTTTACTATAATTTCAATTTTTATAATATATTCGATTTATTATATTAAATTATTTTATTAAAACATTTTTGTAAATTATAATTAATATTAACTAATATGAATTAATATTTGTTAATTTATATAATTTTTTTCAGTACATAAATATGCATGATTATAATATTAAAATGATAATTAATTATTTATTTAAAAAAATATTATGTTATTTATGTGAAATATTTATATTTTATAGATTATTAGATATCTATAAATAATATATCAAAATTTGTAGATATTTGATAATATTCTATATAACTTTAGATTTTAGATTTTGATGTTGATTTATCATTACTATTTATAAATAAATTTCAATTACGATTTTTAAATTATAATTAGTTACATATATCACACTTGCGCATGCGTTGAAAATAATGTCTTATAAACTCCGCGCCAAAACTAAAATCTTTGTTTGGATTTATACATGTTACTAGATGTATGATTTGGAGTAAATTATTGGCGAATTTTTTAAATAGATACATAATTTCTTATTAATTATAAAAATATTATAACTCTATTATTTGTACATGGAGGGTTTGAAATGTCCCAACACGGTGCTGCTTTACAAGCATATAATCAAGAACTTGTAAAGTGTAAGAAATATTTCTATAACCTAACATTTATTTATTTATAATTAATATCACTAAAAAAGATTTTTATTTATTATTAATAATTTTATAATATATTTAAATATATTTAAATAAAAAATATATTTTTATTAGTATTTATAAATTTATAGGTTATGAATTTATATATTTGAATATTATTTTGTTAACTATTAATTTTATTTAGGTTTAGAAGAAATGAAATTGAGACGTACAGAATTACAAGCAGAAATTGAATCTCAAGAAGAAGAAAAAAATTATTTACAAAGAGAAATAGAAAAATTATCTTATAAATTAACACGTTTAAATGATAGTTTAACTAAAAGAATAGCTGTCAGAAATGAATATGATAGAACTATTGCAGATACAGAAACAGCATATATAAAGGTATATTTTTTTACATTTTAAGAAAAAACTAGATTTGTTATATAAATATACATATATATATATATACATACACATATATACAAGAATTATTATTATAAAAATTTATATGAATTTATTACAATTGCAGATTTTGGAAAGTTCACAACTTCTATTAAATATGATCAAGAGAGAAGCTACAAATTTAGATCAAACATTACTTAAAACTAATATGGATAAACAACAAAGTCAGTAATAAATGCAAAATAAAAATTAAAATGGGAAATATTGAATTTATAAATTAAAAAAAAAATTTTTAATCATATATTTAAGGTCACATGTATCTTATTAAGTTTGTAGCTGTAAACAGAGAAAAAGTTATTATAACAATTTTATAATAATAAATATAAAATTGTAAATATTTTAAACATTTACAATATAGTTTCTAAAATTTTAAAATTTTTTATTTATATAATACTATGTTTTATTTTTTTATAATCTGTAATTTTATAATTATATTTTCATTTTTTACATAAGGATGGTTTATCAAATAATTTTTTCTTGTTAATGAAATATATGAGATAATAATTTTTATATATTATTACACATTTGTTTATATATTATATATTACATAAATAATTATTGCAATAATTATTGAATTATTCAAATATTAGTGATAAATTTTATGGTATTTATATAAAAACATAATTGATTATTTGTCACATAATAACTTATTGTGTACATAAAGACTGATGTATATATATCTATTTTCGAAACTATTTCTAAATATATTTTATAATAAATTAATTTTATAGAAGAATATATATATTAGAGTTTATTTAATTAATTTTCCAATATTTTATAATATATTAATTTATTATTAATTCATTTTAAAGTTTATAATATAGTTTTAAAATAATTTATACATATTTAGTAGCATTAAATATTAAATATTATTTTTAAACATATGTATTTTTACTGATAACCAATAGTAACTAATGCATAATAATAACAATAACAAGAATAATATTTTAAATCATTAATTAAAGATTATACAAATATTAAATAAATATCATAGAAAATAAAAATAAATAAGATCTTGATTCCATTATTTAATAATATTTTAAATATCATTTTAAATATCATTTTATCATTTTAAATATCATTTTGTTACTTATTTTTTATGTATTTAAACATTTAATTCATATTTAAAACATTTAATAAAAATATTTTGAATACAATTGAAAATTTAGGCATTACCAAGAGCTTTTTGTTCATTCCATACATTCAATAATTCAGTTGAATTACCATATCCATGGGAAGTTATTACATATTTATAATTAAATTTTGTATAATCTTTTTTGTAAAAATGAAATTCTTCACAATGAAAAGGTTCTATATTTGCTTTTTTTGCAACTAAGCCTAAAAAAATATCATCAAATTTGAAATGCTTAGTATAAAAACTAGTATAATACATATCTAAAAGAGCTTCTTTAGACAGTATATATGCACCAGCTGTAACATATGGTGGCCATAAATGGTATGGGTATTCACTAAGAGAAACATACCACTTAGAAGATTTATGACGATGAGGTGAAGATATAAATACAAATCCTGCATATAATCTAATATCTTCTGGAAGTTCAAAATCAAAAACTTGTTTTTTTATTCTATTCAATATAAATTCATTTTTTAGATTATCTTCCTGAATAAATTTTAATTTTGTATTATTTTCTTTATTATAATTAATTTTTAGAGTTTTATTATAAGTATCTTGTTTTAATCCATATATAATATGATCCCTGAAAACTGTTTTTTTTAATTTTTCATAAACAAATAAATCCTTTTTATCAAGAATATGTATATTTTTTTGTGTAATTATATCATTATTTAATTCTTTTTTTTCATCATTACTTTTAATTTCTCTTTTATGAATATCAAATTTTTTAGGTTCTTTTAAATAATCAGGATAATTAGTTGGATTTCTTATAAATCTTAAAACATTTTTTACAGAAACATATATATCATCATCAACAAACATATAAAATTTTGAATTAGAGCAATATTTTACTAACCATTTAAAACTCATCATAGTTTTGTATGTATTATTGTAATATGATTCTATAAAATCTGCTTGTATGATATCTTTATATTTTGCAGCTTCAATTTTTACCTTTGCTTGAAGTTCATCATTATGTGGATATATACCTAACATAAAGATTGTTCTCGAAGGTACATCAAAAAATCTTTTCTCAAAACCCCAGGAATTTCTAATTGCTAATCTCCTTTCAAAATTTTCTATTGCAGATTTTACTATGTACACAACGTGAAAAATTTTATGTGCAGCATCTACACATTTTTGTTGATTATTCAGTAAAAATTTATATTTATATTCATTTATAGGTTCAATACTAGGTTTTTCATTATGTCGTAATGCATTTACAAATTCATGTACATCACCTTCATATGGATAAACAAAATTTGAGTCATATGTAATTTCAAATAAATGTGTGAATGCTCCAAAAAAATCAAGTACTGTAATAAGACCAATACAAATGCAAACATACTTTAATTTGATTTTTGACATCAAACGAAGAATTGTTTCAAAACAAGGACATAATAAATAATACATCTTTATAAAATAATTTTACATAATTTTTGTTTTATAAAAATCTGTAAAATAATATTTGTATTATCTTTTTATATCCTTTTTATCTTCATCCTTATATGAAAATAAAAATAAGTACTTACATAATTATTATGTATATAAATTGCAAAAAAATTATTAAAATATAGTTTATATATATTTATATATATTTAATATAGCATATTTATTAATATTTTAATAAAACCAATATTTTTCTCTTCCAAAATATATATAATTTCAAAGATGTATTTATATAAAATGTTTATTAAATCTTTTTATAATATTATTCTAATAAATAAAATATTGCAAAATGCAATTTCGTTTATTGTTCAAATTAGTAACTTATACACATATAAACATTAGCATATAAATTTTTATATAGAGATATAACATTGTTACATTCTCTAATGTATTTTAAAATTAATATTTTATTTTATATTTTTTCAGTTAACAGTAAATTTTTTTCTTCAAATTTTGATTTGTTACCAACCATGACAAATTATTTAAATTTTCAAAATTTTATGTTTGTTTTATATTATATAATATCGAAGATTTTTTTAAGAAAAAAACATAAGAATAAAATAAGTATATCAGAATATATAATAAATGTATTTATAATAAATATAAACATTTTTTCTTGATATTAATATTAATAATTTTATATTTTATAATTTCCTATATTCTAAAAATTTGCATAAATATTTAAATATGTATGTAATAAATGATGAAAACTTTATTATTTTTTTGTGTTTTTAATAAATAAATTTTAAACAATATATTAAATTAAAAACATATGACATTATATTGTATAAATATACATTATATTGATAATGAAAATTTAATTTTTTCTTTTTGTGATTTTATATAACACATTGAAGAAATGAAATATTATTTTATTAAAATTTATATTTATAAAAAAATAAATATATATTTACGTTGGTAATGAAATCTGGCGGGAAAATGAATATAAATATTAAAAATAAAAATACAATATATATTATATTCATATATTTTAATGATTGATTAATAGAAAAAATTTTAAAATAAGACGAAATATTTTTTTATATTTAATTAAAAATATTAAAGTATAATTATTTTCCTGATATAAAAAATTTAATGTATAATAATTACATCTTGATATTATAATACATGTATGATTTGATATATTAATATATTTATATTTAATTGCAAAAATATATTCTTTTTTTCCTCTATAGTTACATTTGAATAGTATTTTTTGTTCATAAATTTTATGAATTTATTTTAATTATACTATTTTTATTCTATATATTCTATATATTCCATATATTATACTATTTCTATAAGATTAATGCATTATTTCATCATGGATACATAATATTGTAATATTATAATGATTCATATTAAAGTTTTTTCAAAAAAAATTTATTTTTTTTTGTTTAAATAAATTTATTTACATCTCATTAAAAACTTTTTTAATTTTAATACTTTTTTTATTACATAATTCATATTCGTTTAATAAATTATAGATTTTTTTTTATGTTTCTAAGATGTATTTTTTCAGTTCTTCTACTATAATTTTTATGTTAATTCAAAATGGAATATCTGATAAATTTTGTTTATATTTATTTGTTTATATTTATTTGTAGATTATTTTATCTTATTTAAATCATTTATTTTTACATTTCCATTTTTTTTATAACAATTTCTTCAAATTCATAAACTTTATTACGATGAATTAATCTTTCGGATCGAATTTTTTTTATATTGTTGAACCTATTCTATCAAATATTTTCTGAGATTTTTTTCAATCTTCAATTAATAAATAACAAATAATAATTTGTTTATATTTTTCTTGTAATCAAAAAATCACGGAACTTACATTTAAATACTATTATTTAATTTATGTCTAATTATTTATAATTTAAAAAATTATGTATTTATATATAATTTAAAAATTAATTTAATTTTATGTTAATAAAAATAAAAATATATATTTTTATTTTATTTATTTTCAGTTAATATAAATAAATATTTCTAAAAATAAATATTTTTAGTTTTAAATTTTAGTTTTAAATCTTTTTATTCATAATTATTTATGAAATATAATGTAATATATATTTGTAATATATTGTATTCTTATTCTTAAATATGTATATTCGTATTTATCTTGAAATTTTTATTACCAACATAAATATAATTTTGTGATTAATTATATGTTATTAATATCGTTTATAATTTTGATATTAATTATTATTTTTGACTTATGATACTATTTGTTTTTCTGATATTAGTTAACTAAAATAATTTTACAGTATCAAAGAAGATAATAACTCTTGTATGAATATGTCAACTTTTATGCAATTAGCATCTCTCTAATGTTGGTAAACCTTTGTTGTGAAGTCAGGTTTTCACTTCAAAAGAATCGGAGCAAAGATGGACTCCTAAGAAATTTTTATACATAGCGGTCATTCGACTTTGGATTTTCTTCATTAAATTTGCTTGAAACGTTTGAGATTATTCTTATATGACCGAGTCTGCCGTGTAAACAATGATTGTACAGGAGCCAGTGCAGGTAAAATTAATAGAGTTTGAGAAAAAGTTGCCACTGACGTGTGATTTTCTGTTCAAATGTATTCACACTTACTGATACTGACATAAGAAATTAAAATCATTTACGCACATATTTATCATACAACGGATAATTGATTTTGAATTTTATATATTATTTTATAATATATTATTGATTCTATGCAATCATAACATTTATCAGGTTATCATAGTTCATATTCATTTTGTATTAAATATATTTTTCTATAAGGATTGTTTCTTTAGGGTTGTTTGATTTTATAAAATGGACATAAATAAATGGGAATATGATTATAAATAAGTATAAGTCTCCAGAACATTTATGAATTTTTTATATTTTGCACTTAAATTAATCAATTTTTATGAGTATTAATATGTAACTTTATATATCAATTATTAACAATAACAAATATGAGTTATATACTTTTTCATTTATCAAGATATGACTAAACATTTTAATTATATATGTATACATATTATATCAATATATTGTAATATGTATGATTACAGGCGGCCATATGGCATTGTTTAAATCATTATGCTTATCCAGATGCAATATTTTTAGCGGAAAGGTTGTGTGCAGAAGGTAAATTTTTAAATGATTTCTTATAATATTTAATTTTTTTTCTATCTAATTTTTATATTTAATTATAATATTATATTATTACTTAAAATATTTTATAGTTGACACAGAAGAAACTTTATTTCTTTTGGCAACATGTTATTATCGATCAGGACGAATTAGACAAGCTTATGCATTACTTTCCAAAAAAGCACCAAATTCTGCACAATGCAGGTTTCTTTTAGCCAAATGTTGTTATGACTTAGAGAAGTAAGTATAAAATTAATTCATTTTGCTATTTTGATATAATTATATAATTTTATATTTTAATCTCAGATATGCAGAAGCAGAAGCAGCAATAATTGGAGGATATTATAAGCAGTTAAAAAATTTGGAAGAAATAGCAACTCAGTTTGGAGAACATGCATGTTTCTCACTTCAGATTATAGCGAAGATTTATTATAAGATGATGCGTACAGCAAAAGGAAATGATGCACATAAATTAGCTTTGAAGTTAAATCCATTTCTTTGGCATTCATTTGAAGAATTATGCAATGTTGGTGAAATAGTAGATCCTACAAAAATTTTTCAGTTAGATAAGCTAGATAATTTTGCAATGTGCCATGGTAGTACACCTCCACCTACTTATACAACTGAATCTGATCTCATTGTACCTACTAATAATTCTAATAGTACACCTACTACAAATGGTACTAGTATGTAAGTATGTAATTTTTAAAACATGTAAAGATATATTTAATATATGATATTTAATATAAATATGTTACATATATTTTATAGTACTCCTGCACAAATGACAGCAGCATCAACTATAATCAATGGTGTGGGACCTGGTATACGATTATATTCTACAGATGAAAGTCCACAAACTTTGTCTACACATTATACTAATTGTTCTTCAATATCACCAAGAGCTAAGCTTCCACGGTATCGTAGTATGTTTAATAATACAATGAGCCCTCTTACTCCAACTTTTGGCATTTTACCGTTGGAAAGTAATACACCTGAACCAACAGTTTTACCTTCGCATACTACTCTTACAGAAGCTAATGATCAAAAAAGTTTAGCAAAACGTGTTAGTAGTTTAAGGGCTCATGTAGGGGTAAGATTTGAGAGTAGTAATTGTTAAATTTTTAAAAGCATATCATATAATATATTAAATTATATATAAAATATTTTAATTTATAGCAATTAATGTCAAGAAAAGAAACTCCTTTACAGCAAGGGAAACCAGTATTTTCACAATCAGGAAATACGAGTAATAGTGCAAATATAGTAACAGTTACACCTACTACTCCAACACCAGCAGCACCAACACTACAAGGAACCAATGTTAGACGTTCATCAAGACTCTTCAGTCATAGCTATTCAGTCAAGGTAGATTTCTTTATTTTATTGTAATTTTTCATTTTTAATTTATATTATATTATAAATGCATTAGATGTATTATAAATGCATTTAAAAGTAATCTTTTTTTTTTTTTATTAGGAAAATAATAAATCTCCAAATAGAAATAAATTTGCTACTCCAAAGTCTCCATCTCGTAAAACAAAAGCTAGACTTTCAAAAACTAATTTAAATAAAGCTAATTTTAATGAGTTAAATGAAAGAAATCGAAATGAAAAAGAAAAAACTGAAACAATTACATCAGAAAAAGCTGTATCTAGCGTAAATACATTAAATAATCAAGGTAGTACTAATATCTGTGCAGTAACACTTCAAAAACAATGTGCTGGTATGTTTTTAATATAATTTTTAATATAATATAATTTTGTTTTGGAAAAATTTTTTTTATGAATGTAATTTTTATATATAATATATATATGTATTCTTTCAGAGGGTTTAATGTCATTATTACAAGAATTAGGATTGGCATATCAACATTTAAGTCAATTTAATTGTACTCAAGCTGTTGAAATATTAAGTGTTCTTCCAGCACAACATTATAATACAGGATGGGTATTATCTATGTTAGCTCGTGCACATTTTGAAATGATAGATTATAAAAAAGCTGCTAGGTTAGTTTTATTAAAATTATAAAATTAGAAATTAAATTAATTAGTAAGAAATTTTAATTTAATATTTATTAATAGTTATTTTGCTGAAGTGAGACAGTTGGAACCTCAAAGAACTGAGCTTATGGAAATTTATAGTACAGTTTTATGGCATTTGCATGCTGAAGTACAATTGTCTACTCTTGCACAAGAACTTGTCTCTGAAGATCGTAATTCTCCAGCTGCTTGGTGTGCTACTGGAAATCTATTTTCTGCACAGACAGAACATGAAACAGCAATTAAATTCTTTCAAAGAGCAATTCAAGTATGTTTTTTTTTTTTATATTTTAATATAGATATTAATTTTTATCTTATATGTTTCATATAATAATAAATTTATACTTGAAATGAAAGTTTTGTTTTTCAAATATAGGTAGATCCCAATTTTCCATATGCTTATACACTACTTGGTCATGAATATGTTTTGACAGAAGAACTGGATAAAGCAATTACTGCATTTCGTAATGCTATCAGACTTGATCCTAGGCATTATAATGCATGGTAAATTTTATTAAATTATATATGAATATATATATGATTATAACTTAGATATATTTGTCTAACATATAACTTAGATATATGTCTAACATATATTTTGAAGAAAAATTTAGATTATTACAAGATCAATTTTAACAAATAAAATAATTTTATTGTTCAAAAAAATTTTCCTTGTTTTACAGGTTTGGATTAGGAACAATATTTTCTAAACAGGAGCAATATAGTCTAGCAGAATTGCATTTTCAACGTGCTTTACAAATTAATCCACAAAATTCGGCAATAATGTGTCACATCGGAGTTGTACAACATGCATTAAAAAAAACTGATGAAGCTTTAAAAACTCTAAATACTGCAATTTCAAATGATCCCGATAATACATTGTGTAAATTTCACCGTGCAAGTATTAATTTTTCAATTGGTCGCCATATGGAAGCACTTAGAGAATTTGAAGAATTAAAAAATATTGTACCCAAAGAATCTCTAGTCTATTATTCAATAGGAAAAGTAAGCATTATTATGATTTTCGTATATTATATGTCACATTTTATTTTCTCTTTTTTATTTTTGTTCTTTTTTATATAGGTACATAAGAAATTGGGAAATACCGACCTTGCACTAATGTACTTTAGTTGGGCAACAGATTTAGATCCAAAGGGAGTCAACAGTCAAATTAAAGAAGCTATATTAGGTCCAGGTCAAGGAGAAGAAGAATCTCCAGCAACTCAATCAGGTAAATAGTTATATTGATAATACATTGTGCAAATAATAAAAAATACAATAAAAAAATTTTACATAAATGAAATTTTATTATAAAAAAACTTATTAATATTTTTAATATTATTGTCATATTATACCTATATACATATAGACGAACAACAGATGCAAAATAATTCAATGGAACAAGAGATTGAAAGTAATAGAGAAGCAAGTGTTGCGGGACTCGCTGCAAATGTCTCAGTTGAAGCTCATGCCGATGACAGCGACGATAGTTTATGAAGATATCCTATTGTGTGCAAGATTGCTATAAAATGAACATTATTGCGCGTCATTATTTATCTTTTGTGTTGATCGATCCGATCAATTTTTCTCATTACTAATTTAGCTCATTGTGAATTCATATTTTTGCGTGTATTTCGTCTGAACAGTGCTTTATTATTAGACTTTTAATATTTATATTTTTTTCTTAGTTCACTTCTTGATAGTGTTGCATCTTTTTAAGAAGCTAAAAAATAAGGTAAAAACCATTCTTTGGAGCATATTGGTTTATTTTTTTCATCTCTAAAAAAAGGTATTTAAATGATTGATATTCTCTAAGAGAGAAAAATGTATGAATGAGAAAAAAAAAGAATGCATGGAGGAAGGAGCGAGAAAGAGAGAGAGAGAAAGAGAGAAAGAATCAACAATATCTATTTCATCGATTTTGTACATTACGCGTTCCACTGTATATTTTTTACGATTGCTTGTCTTACTTTTATATATATATATATATGTTCGAATGTTTAATCACTTTCGTCAAGGATCTACGGTTGAATATAGACTGTATTGTGTGTGTGTGTGCGCGCATATATGGGCGAATGTAAGCATGTCGTAATAGAAAAACGTAAATAGATAGGAAATATAATTAATTAATTGAAGAAGTATAAATGTAAATTATTATAATATTATCAATATTATTATCACCATTAGTGCTATTAGTACTACTATTCATATAATTACCATTGCCGATTTAGTGATCACAAAAAAAAACAATAAAAAAATATTTTTGGCCATTTTAGTGGCCATTGGACGATCGTGCAATTCTCGTCGTGAAATAATCATCGATGGATTGATCTTCTTGAAACTGATAAAGAAAACTTTGATAAAGAAAAGATAGTTTCATACATGTCATTGGGTAATAGATCTAAATTATTTTGATGATCGTAAGCGAGTCAAAATCTATTTGTACTTGCGAGTATTTATTAAAATCCTGAAAGTCTATGCCATATCTTTATTGATAAAAATTTTATTATTGTTTTGAATAAAGTATACATTATATATATTATCATGAACTTTTGCTGTACAGTAATGATATATTATGATCACTTTTAATTCTGGTGTATCTTAAATATACATATAATTTATTTCTCTTTTCTATGCAACTTTTGCTATTTTTATTAAATATTTTATCTACTTATTTTATATACTTATACTTTAATATGAAGATTGATATGATATTAGAAACACATAATTAATGTTTTTATTTTATTCCGAATAAATTAGATAATTTGCTATAAATTTATGTTATAGACTTTCTGGAGGCCTTGTTTAACAACCAGATTATTTAAGCGTATTAAGCTCTGCGAGAAGAATCTTTTTATCGCGATATGATACGTTCCACGACGGTATCTGGTGTTCATGTTCATAAAAAAATACATATGCCGTGTATCAAACGCGTTAATGAAGTGTTGTTGTGTTACCAAATTCTATCTAAAGGTAATTTTAATAACGAAAATGATTTATGCATACGTGCTGCATGAATAATTACACGAAAAGATCATAGCATTTTATATTGTATAGATACAAAGAAAAGAAATATTGATAGAAAAGAAAGAGGAAAAGAGAGAGAGATAGACAAATAATGAAAAGAATAGATGAATTGCTGACTGAAATCTGTATATATATATATAATATATGTAAGCATACATATATGTGTGATATGACATCTTGTCCCTCTTAATTTTTGAATTTAAGCGTATCCCAATTTTTAAATCTTGCAGATTATTTATGTATATTCAGTAAGCTAGAAAAAATCTGTATTATGTTTTTATTTTTTTTATATTTATAATTTCTGTATCAATTTAAAAACTTACAAATTTAAAGTATTATAAATTAATATACAAAGAAATAAGATTTGTTACTATTTTTATCTAAATTCTTTCTCTTTGTATTTAAAATATAGTTTTTATAAAATATAAAATATAAAATACAAAAATTACATTCAGATAATTAACAAAATTATTTTATTTTTTAATTATATATTTTAAAATTATTTTATATTAAATTAATCAAAGAGAAAATCATCTAATTTTTACTTGATCTAATTTTAATGAAGCTGACAAATTCTATAAAGAAAATTATTTGATTACTTTCTGAACTTCTGAATTGAGATACGCTTTCTTATTTCGATTTTTATTGTGCTAATATTTTTTTGTTTTTTTCGTATAATTTTATTTATTTATTCGTTTATTATCTTTTTATGTTTTTTTTCACATTGGATAAACAAAAGTAACACGATTATATGAACAAATAATTGAAATTTCTTTTTTTGATTTATCCATGAATACACCATAAGTATAAATCATAATATGGAAGAAATTTCGATAATTTTTCGATTTTATTATGATAAAAATTTTTAAGATAGAAATAAAAAAATAATTGAAAAGATGGTAATTAAAGTAGTTAAGTAAACTCTACTTTTTCAGTACTTTTAATAAAATAAAAAATTTTTTTTAAACATGCTATAATTAAAAAATTGTATTATGAAATGATCTATAAATAAAATATGTTAATTCAATTCAAATTAGCTATATAATATAATTAGCTATATATAATATAATTAATATAACTAAATCTTTCTAAATTAATTTTTTTTATATTACTATTTAATATTATTATTTAATAACTTAATAAAAGATGATAATTTATAAAACTGATAAAAATTATTGACAATTAACGAATCAACATTTAATAGGAAGAAAACTATATAATTATAATAAAAATAATCTTAATGAAGTTAATGAAGTTCTGAAAAAATATATATTAATTGATAAAATATAATTATATAATAATAATTTATTTTCTTATATCAAAGAAAATCCTAAATAAATTAAAAATTCGATAGATGTGATAAATGTTATTGACAATTTATTCACACGTCTTTTACAGTAAAAAAGTTATAGCGAAATAAGAAAGATTTTTAACGAAAAATCTTATATTTTCGTTATCTATATCAACACTCTTAGTTTTATTATATAAGTTGCACATCAAACTGCAAAACATCAGTATGTAATGAAGACACATTTAAATGTGTCTTCGTAATTTTATAACGAAAAATTATATTGTTTGCGTTTTAACGAGTTTTATTATTTATTTTTTTATATGTTTTTATGAATCATTAATTTTTAGAAATTTAACAATTGTTTCTTGACGATTTTTATGAATTTAAAATATTTTTGTACGATTTTGAATTATGGAACATGCAACTGATTATGTAGAAACTGGTGAGCATATATTTATTTACAAATTGATATTATAATATTATAAATATTTTTTTATTTAAAAAATACATATAAATTTTTATTATTATATATAAATTAAGATTTGACAATTACAAGGTTTACAATTAAAATTTCTATAAAATTGTAATTCTTTTCAAGTTCTTGGAAAGAAAGATGCAAATCAACTTGGAAGAACTCTTACGCATGAACATTTATCCATGTCCTTCACTGAGTTCTATGTTCAACCTCCATCTCATTTGAAACAATTTTTCAATGACAAAATCGAACTTCAAACTGTTGGAATTCTAAAACAATATCCGTAAGTATAACAAATAAAATTCTTTTTATTTTTCGTTTCTTTTTATTTTTCGTTTGTATGTATAAATTATTTATTAAAATATTAACTTTTATTTAGAAACAATAAACAATTTAAATATTTTGAAAAATATAAAAAATTCTTAGATAGAAATTATATTGAATAAAACCATTTCAATTTTTTCTTATAGTTATAGTAGTTTTTATAATTTAATATATAACGATCGATATACGGAAGATGCTGTTTTGGAGGATGTAAAATTATATAAAAAATTTGGTGGTGGTACTATCGTGGAAAATAGTAATTATGGCTTAAAACGCAACATTCTATTCATGAAAAAAGTTAGTAAAACCACTGGAATTAATATCATTGCCGGAACCGGTAAAAGATTTTCGTAATTTTAATGTGAGAATACTATGTCTATTCAGAAAATTACATTTAAATTAGACTTATTTAGAAGATATTTACTTAAAGTTTTGCATAAATGTGCAAAATTCCATTGAAAATAACTTCTTTGAAATCAAATAATTTTTTTTTTTTAATTATAAATTATTTTTTAAGACCAAATATTTTCTGAATCGACTTTTTTATATTGCATTCTTTTCATTTTTAACTTGTTCTTTTTTTTCTTTCATTCGTGAATGAATGAAAGGTTATTATGTTAGTGCGACTCAAACTAATGAAAATTTATCAAAAGAAGAAATGTACGATGTAATTTTAAAAGAAATGACTATTGGTTGTGAAGAATCTCCTGATGTAAAGGCGGGATTTATTGGAGAAATTGGAAGCACTTGGCCAATCACGGGTATATATGCTATTATGTTAAATATAATTAAATATAATTTAATAAATTCTTAATCTATTTTTATAAAATAATTGTTTTTATATTATCATTTACAATCTTTTAATATTTTAAGATATTTAATCCAAAGAATGAGAAGAAGTTAACTAAACTCGTTGCAAAATATATTTTTTTAATTTAATATTTTTATTCATTAATCTTGAACATATTTAAATTAATCATATAATTATTTATATCTAAATAGCTTTTGAAAAACGGGTTATCCAAGCAACTGCGGAGGTTCAACAGCAATTAAAATGTCCTGTCAGTTTCCATCCTGGAAGAGATTCTGCAGCACCTTCTGAGATAATGAGAATCTATCAAGAAGCTGGTGGAGATGCGAAAAAAGCTATTCTCTCTCATCTCGATCGTAAGTTTAATCTAGTATTATTAAAATATTGATTGTTATTTTTTTGTACTAACAATCGATTTTTAAATGTCTTATTTACTGAACTAGTTTTTTTATTAATTTTATTATAACATATTTCATTAAAAATAGAATTGTGCATTTTACATATTTAGTATTTTAATTTTTTACTATAATATTGAAAGTATTAAAAATTTTACGAGTACTGATTTATTTAAATTCTTTTATCAATTTTGATATTGCTGGTCACTGATAAACTCATACTTTTTTTATCAATTTTATATAAAATATCTCTTTTTCATAAGAGTTGAAATATTGATAAAATTTATTGTAAGAATTTATGGAAAGAATTTATGATTTAACTTAATATTTGCTTTTTGATAGCATGTTCTTCTTATTCGAGCATTTAATTTTTATCTTATATCTTATATAATATATACATATCACATATATTATTAACTTCATTTTAAAATTCATAATTTCTATTAATTTGATTGAATATTTAATTATTTTATTTTCATTTACATATTTGAAATATAGGAACTATACTCGGTCTAGAAGAACTTTTGGAGTTTGCTGATAACACGAAATGTTACTGCCAATTCGATCTGTTTGGAACCGAATGTTCTTTTTATCAATTAAATCCATCGATTGATATGATATCTGACGCACAACGGATTGAGCGTGTTAAATATTTTCGAGATAATAAAAAATTGGATCGCGTACTGTTAAGTCATGACATTCATACGAAGCACAAATTGGTACGTACTAATCTATGTACATATTATATTAATTATATGTTGTTATAATAATGTCTTAGAAATAAGTAATTATATTGTTTAAATTAATTTTATCAATTTTTTTAAAAAAAAAAGATAAAATTTGGTGGACATGGATTTTCTCATATTTTGAATAATGTTGTACCAAAAATGATGCTGAAGGGTTTTGTTCTTGAAGAAATCGACATGTTAACTATTCAAAATCCAAAAACTTGGTTGATATCTTAATTATTTTTAATGATATGTATATAAAATCGAATTAATTTTTATATTAAGTTAAAGGCAAAAGAATGTATTTGTATTCATAAAAAATTCTACTGCAAATAAACTTATATTTATAAACATTTATAATAAATTTATTTATTGAATTATTGATTTTTGCTAGAATACACTAACTCGTATACAATACGCAATAATTTTTTAAATTAATACAAATTGAAATTTTTAACTTTCATGGCTCAACTTTAAGAAAAAAATGTTCTTTAAACTATGAAATTTTTAGAAACAGTTTTTCAATTTTTTATTTAATTCCAATGAAAATTAATGGATTTATCTATTTTTTTATCATTTTATTTAATACTAATTATAAAAAATAAAAAATATTATTACTATTATATTTTATACTTATTTTTCTTATATCTTTTTAAAATATTATATTTTCAGAAATTACAAAAAAAAATTGTAAAGAAATATTTATAAATATATGATAATTTATAAGGTATATGATAATTTATAATTTATATGATATATATATAAAAATATACATATATAAAATCTTTACACAGATAGAAAAACTAATTTATGTGTAAAATGTATGTATGATCTCTTGCGCAACATATAGACAAAGAGAGTAAGTGATTGGAGAAAGACAGAGATAGAGTAAAAATTGGGGAATCAGCGCCATCTCCAGAGTGCCGCAAAAGAAACACATAAAGAAAAGACAGAAAATAATAAGAGAAAGATAGAGATAGGTAAGAATTGATTGCTAGCGTCATCTCTAGAATATCAAAGACATTTCTTTAAGAGAAGGATAAGGTAGAATTATAGAATTGATTGCTAGCGTCATCTCTTGAAATTCTTTAGAACATCTTTCAAAGATAAGGTAGATTAAAAATTAACAGATGGCGCCATCTCTCGAGGCATCTGAGAAAGACAATGTTGAAGAAGTATCCTTTATATTTCATAGATGGTGCTAACGATGAATTCTACCTATCTCTATCTTTCTCTTATTATTTTCTGTCCTTTCTTTTTGTGTTTCATTTGCGGCATTCTGAAGATGGCGCTGATTGCTGAATTTTTATCCTATCTCTGTCTTTTTCTCATTATTCATTCTCTTTATCTATATTTTCTATACGCTCAAGACATATATCTTCAATGTTTATATTCTAAAGTATGGATATTGTCATACAAATTTATAAATTTTGCAACAAATTACTGAAATTAGTTATCAAATATTTTTGTCAATTATATTTTCTATGTTGAAAATAAATATGTGTATATTTATATCTCTATTCATTCATTATTTTTTGCAACACAACAAGATTGCAATTAAAATTCGTATAAAAAAAAATAAGAAATGTTTGCGTTTAAAAAAAAAACTTAAATTAATATTATTTTCTGTGATAAAAATATGTTCTAATTCCAGTAATTCCATCTTTTAATAAGGGAATTAGATACTAATTATTCACAACTTTTTGTCATATGATAATAATAACACGTGCAATAGATGATTCGCAATCAATATCGCGGTATCTTTCTCTCTGATATCTTTAGATATACTTGCGTATGAAAAGCAGATTAAATGCTACATTTAATAGTGCAGGATATAAATTACATCGGATCAAGATTGACATGTTCGTATTATTAGATTGTAATTTAAATATAAATACATAAGCTTACCTGTGACAGAACACTATCGTCACTCCTCGACAATATTTCGATGATTATTATGGCGATGAAATGATGCATAATCTATTCTTATGGTGGCAACAAAGTTATTCACTGGTAAAGTATTACACTATTGTCTTTCACATGATGAATAATCAAGAATTAACAGAGTTTATAATAGTTATTTTTATACAATTATTGTATACGTCATTATTTTCATGCTTTATAACTGAATAACTTCAAAATCACATAATCAAGCAACCCTCTTATTATTAAAATTGTCCTTCTATTCATCATTTTTATATTATATATTTTCATATAAAATATATATATATCGTTTTTAATATCTTCAAAAAATATTAATTGCTATAATATTTTTGATTTTTTTATAGAACACGTTCATGATATATTTATTACCTACTTAAAACTTTATATTATTTTAAAAATTCTAAAATCTTTAGTTCTGTCAAACAACAATTCTTTTCAATTATATTTTTAAACGTTGAATAAGATAAAAGAAAGAAAATAGTCAATAAAAATGTGAATTTATCGTGTATTACAATGCTTCGACATAAAAATATCAATAGACTCTTTTGTTCATCGTAAGATAATTTTTTGTATATATAACGCACGGATTCACTCTTATTTTTCTTTTTTTTTAATCAAATAATGTTGAAACTTTCATTGACATGAACATTTCTTCGTTTTAAAATTCTGATACGTACTTATTTCAGTCTACGGGATATATACGTGGATAGGTGCTGATATACTGATATCGTATCGATATTGATACGCGTCATGTACGAGAAACCTAAGGTGAATACTCATTGGAAAATATGTTCGCAAACATTGTTCAAATAATGTTCAAAAATATTTTATGATCATTCTACGATTTTATCATAAAAATTGCTCGATAACAAATTCACAAATATTTTTTGAATTTTATATTTCTCTTTTTCAAGTTCTTTCAAATAAATATATTTTATATTATCGAGTATATTTTGATGCTTAAGGCGCAAATTAATGATTAGGATATTTAAGAAATGGAATTTTTAAATATGTAAAAACAATAGATAAAAAAAAAATATAAGTAATATTAGAAATTTCTATAAATAGAACAGAATATTTTAATTATAAAGGATATAATATATAGTATTATATTATTTGAAATAGCCAATGAGAATTTGTTTTATTAAATAAATTCAATTCTCACCTACCCTAATTTCTTTGATCGTTTCATATTTGAAAAAAAAATTCTTGACAGGTTAAAGATATTTTAAAGATCAATAATATTTTTGAAATAATAATACTTTTTTGAATAAAAATTAAATATTTTTCAAATTTTTCACTCACTTCTTTTGAATTCCCTTTTTCTCAACGCATCCATTATTCCTTCACTAAATGTTTTCTTTCAACCTTTGAATAAATATTACATTATGATGAGTCATAAAAAAAGAAACGCTTTTCTTTTATATGCGTCACTATGTTCTCAAAACCACGTGAATCTTGTCAAAAAACATATCCACATACACAATATAAATTCACGTACAATAACCACGAACAATAAATATATATACACAATATCCAATTTTAATTTATTTTAATTGCAAATATTATATTTCGACAAGCATGCCAAAAAAGAAATTTCGATAAATATATATATTCTATTACTAGAAGTGCACTTATAAACAATCCTTAGACAATTTTCCGAATTGAACATAAATAAGTAGAAAAAGACGAATACCAAATTTCCAATAATGGTCATCTTAAAAAAATATGTATAAAAAAAAGAGAGAACCAAGCAATACGTAATATCGAAGAACCAAGTGTTTACCACGTACAGTACAGGAGAAGACGATAACGAGTTTGAAGCCTCGATAATACATAGAAAGGGGAAGGGGAAAAGACGCGGTATGACGACCCCAGAGGTCGAGCATCTCGCCCATTCTTCGTTTGTCAGTTTACTCAGCCGAACTTAATTATCATTGACAGAAGGGGCACGAGAACGGTGTGCTTGCTTCCGTGGAAATCGCGCGGAATATACGACGAGGAAGAAGGAAGGAAATGAGCTCGAGAAAGCCAAGAAGGGACTCGGACGTCCTGTTGTCCAAGTTCGGTCACAAGGAGTTGCTGTTCAAGTTCCTCGTAATTGGTGATTATGGAGTCGGTGCGTCCAGGCCGTTTTAAAAATATTTGAAAAATCTGCCGGGGGCACGGTTTTCGACTCGTTAGTATCATTATATTCAAATACGTATTGTGAACAGTTAGGATAGGATTATATCCTCGGGTTTTCAAAGTGTCAAAGTGTTTGTTTGATCATCGTGGTTTATTGTCATCATGTGGAAATTATTGCCAATTGATTTGCTCGAAGATTTGTTATTATGACAATGATATATCGTGTGTTGGGACGATTCTTATATTATTAGGCGTTCGATCGAGACGATTTGAAGAAAGTTCCTTTGAATAAGATTGTAAGAGAAATCGGTATATTCATTGCGTAATTTATTCTTGTAATGTAGATTTATGCATATAATCACGAGTAATTTTTCTTTTTTCTTTTTTTTTTTTTTTAATATAATAATAAGAAAAATGGGAAATAAATATATGGAAATTATCATTTATTCATTCATAAAAAATATGGGGATTATATAGACAGCGTTAATCCGTTCTAGTGAGTGATTTTTGAAATGAGTTGATTTTAAACACATCAAAAATGAATATAAGAATTGGTAAAATAAAAAAAATGTGGATCGAGATTTATTAATGAAGTTATAAATATTTTTATTTAATACGAGATAAAGAGGGATAAAAATAAGACTTTTTTTTATCTTGCAAATAATGCAGTTTTAAAGGCAGACTTAGTAGTTAATTGATATATTTTTAATTGATGTATAATAACGTAATAACATGATTAATGGATTTTGAAAATTGATTATTTTATTATTGTAAATAATAATATAATTTTTATGTTATACGTTTATTGTTATTATAACAAAGAATAATAATTGTTTTGTTATTGTTTCAGGAAAAACAGCATTGGTTAGGAGATATACAGAAGGTAAGAAAATTATATATAATATATTATATTTGTAAAAAAGTGATAAATAAGAGATATTTCGTTCAAAACATCGTATTAAAAACGAGATACATTGCAAGATATCTTAATTGCGAGTGTAAAGATGAAATAATTAATTTTTTATTCTTGCAATATATTAAAAAATTAATAATTGTTCTACACTTCACGTAGCATCACGTATTATCCGTAATTTCCATAATAATGTAATTTTATCATTTGTCCTTCTTTCAAAATATTTTGAAAAATACATATCTTAAAAAAAAAAAATAAAAAGCTATGAGCTACAATTTTAAACATTATAATGCCGTCGTATAAAATTTCATTGAAGAATAAAACGTTATGTTTTGAGAATTGTTTCTCAATTTAAACCAGATGATCCCTAATTTTTTATTCATTTATGTATGTAAGCAGCAGGATGAATAATTAAGTATTACTTATATGGAAGCTGCTACGTTTGTAATACTACTCGTCTGCAGTCGATAACCTTTTTCATTTTTACTCTTGACCTAATTTGTTAATTGTTGCTTTAATTAAACATAAAAGAAAAACAAAAACATAAAAGAATAATGATACACATTCGATAATATAACGAGGGTTAACGATATTTATTATTTGCTTCTTCTCTGACTCTATAAATAAATGTTTCAGATTGTTATTGAAGTATTTATGGATTTTAAGAGGCAAATGCAAAATCTTTTCATCTTTTTGCATTTGTTTTTAACTGGTTATATTTGTTATAAATGATTATATTTATTGAATTATCAACACATTTATTGAATTAATAACACATTTCAATTATATTATTCATAATGTGAAAACAACTGACGTTTCAACAAATTTTTTCACAATACTCAGTAATTTTATCGAATCTAATCAATTTTTTTCTCTTCTTGCAGGAAAGTTTACATCTAATTACAAGATTACCATAGGAGCTGATTTCGCGATAAAAACGCTCGACTGGGACCCTCTTACTAAAATAAATTTACAATTGTGGTACTGTCCTTATTTATTTTGCATGTTCCGTTCAATAGAATCGTTGAAATCATAAATATTATTTAATATCTAATATTTTCATCCAACTTACATTGCTTATAACTTAATAAATAAATCTAAATCGATACTTTTTTCGTACTTATTTTAGTTCTTCAAAGGTGTTTCTTAAATATAATTCATATATAATCCAATAATAGGATTGCATTATATAATTTCTTGATAATTTTTTTTTTATTCTTTATTTTAACAGTGGTAATAGTGTTTGATATAATTTTCCTGCATCTTAAATATTAAATAAATTTTGCTTTAATAAGAAAAACGTTCAATATTTTCAAAAAATCTTTATTATAAATCTTTTTTTTCTAGATTTTGTGTATATATATATAATTTTGGGATAAAATTTATAATATAATAAACATTAAATATGATTTTATGGCACTATTTTTATACGCATCTTTATTTCATTACAATTAATTTTTCGTTTTTTTTCAGGGATGTCGCCGGTCACGAAAGATTTGGATATATGACCAGAGTTTATTACAAATATGCGTAAGTATCGCAGCGATCAAGATTAAATTATATTTACTGTATTGCAGTAAAACGCATTATCGTTACAAATTGATAGTTTCGACACGTAATTTTCAGAGTGGCCGCAGCTTTGGTTTTCGATATTTCGCGAATAGCTACATTCCAATCGATCAAGAAATGGCTGTGCGATTTGAGGGAAAAAGTCACACTCCCGGATGGTTCGAATATACCGGTAGTTCTCTTAGCGAACAAATGCGACATTCCTTGCCCCGTGGTACCGACCGAACAAATTGCCAGGTTTTGCAAAGAGAATAACATTGGCGCTTGGTATGTAACTTCTGCGAAAGAAAATACAAATGTTGGTAAGTATGATTTGTATAATATTTATTATTGTTAATGAAGAAAAATTTATCAAAGACGCAAATTAAATAATCTTATAAAAATCGAATAATTTTAATTTCAATATAAATTTTCCAAAAAGTAAAGTTTCCGTATAAATAAGAATCATTGTTTCTCAATTTTTACTTATTTATTTAATAATTTTTTTTTTTATCATTCAATGTAACAAGTATTATATATTTTCGCGCTAATTTATTTTGCATTTCTGTTCGCAGATGTGGCAATGCGTTATCTTGTGGAGAACGTGCTCAAAACTAAAATTGACGGAGGAATTCGGGATTCCGTCCGACTGCGAGACAAACCTACGATCCGAGAAAAGAGCGGATGTTGCAAGTAATAATTTTGTTTTTCTTGCGATTTTCAATTAAAATTCGTGTCATTTATTATGTGACAATATTATTTTCACAATATTCGAAAGAACTTACTTTTTAATACGATTTTTTTTAATTAATTTAATCTGCGATGCGTATCTTTTATAATATATTTACAATTAGTCGTATAATTTGTATATCTCAATTGTACATGTTTTACAAATACTGTACTGTTATAAATACTGTACAACGATATGAATATTTTTAATTTGCAAAGAAATTTAGAATATATTTATTTTTAGAATTATAAAACAAATATTCGCTATTCTTTACGATAACGAGATTTTTATACATTTAATAATTGTAAGAAATTCTAAAGACATTTGTCAATACATTGGATTTTACGAATAATTTTTAATAGATATTTTCCAAAGAAAAAGTATTCTGTTATTTCATTTTTGAACGATTAATATAGAGAATTATTTAAATTCATAAATATGTTTATTTACTTTGTACTTTGATAATTTTTTATATTATTTCATCGTATATAAATTAACCAAAAAAAGAAAATACCGAATAAATATAAAATAAATTTATAATGTTTTAAATTACGAATCTATCTTTAGAATTTATACTTTTTATACAAAAATTGGTAACAAAAATTAATTATGTTATTTTTATGTACACACGTGTAACCTTTGGTAAAAATATAACACTTGTATTCAAGTGTGGTAAAAATTAAATGTACATGATTGTCTTAATTATATTTCATAATATCTAATTTATCGGTCGACAAATAACTTATTTTATCATTTATTATACAATATTAATCATTTTTTATTAATCCAGATAAATCTAATAACAGCTCAGCTGTTTTTTTTTTCTTAACTATCTGGATTAATTATTTTCAAGTTTTCCTATTTACATTCATATTTTCTTCTTTTAATACAATTATTATCTTTTTTTATAGCATTTCTTATATTTCCTAATAAAATATATATTTCATAATGCGTCGAATTTACATCAATAGTGAATATAAGGTATCAATTAAAAAGTTTGATACGTACAATGAATAATTAAAGAAATAAAATCTAAATAAATGAGTATCTTACTTTAGGTATTTTATATACTTTGCATATTACGTCCTTCTCCACATTTTGTACATTTAAATTTTAATTTAAATAGATGTACAAATATCTAGCAATATCTGATAATATATATTCTTAATGGACTATCTTCATCAGTTTTTATCTCTTCCATCCATTTTGTAAATTATATAAAACATTCTAAATACTGGCTTTTATCTTCAAGAGTCGATTAATGTCTTTTATATATTTCTCTTCCTCTTCCAAACAGTCTATTAAAATTACGGTTGCTCTTCGAAATGAGAATTTCTTACAGGATTCATGGCGATCGAGACTGTCGATACCATCGTTTTGCTGAAATCTTTCGAATAATCTGAAAAGAAAACAATACAGATGAAAATCAATTCGTAGTTCTGGTTTTCCTTCGAACGCGTACTTTAACGATTGACGTGTCACACAGCAAGGAAGCAGGAAGCTATTAATGAAGAAAACCAATGACAGAAGATGATTCATAACTATGATTAGCTCGATTGTAGAATTTCTGAATACATTTTTCTTTTGTAATTTGAAAATCTTCAAATGAGAAGATTTTTAAAATTCTATTTTTCTTTTTCAATATAATAATACATTATATATTTTTTTTTATTTAATAAAAATATTTCCCTCCCCTCCCCCTTCCCTGATTTTCTTTCGATTAATAAAATTTTCTATTTTACCAAAAGATAATTAATTAATTTTCCACTTTATCAAAAAAAAAAAAAAAATAAACTAAGAAATCTCTTGTACAGTAACATCAACGTTATTGATGAGATGCAGATACAATAAGCAGATACAAGGACGACAAAGAAAAAAAGGCCTGGAACATGCCCGCGGAACCAATCGCATTCTTAGAAAGCAGCGAATTTGTGCCCTTGACTTACGAAGAGAGCGAGGTGTGGTCGCTTAGCTCGCGTTTGGTCAGAGCTTGGTGAGCGTTACCACGCGACGGTGCTCGAAGTTACCTTGGCCGTAGTCCTGCTGGTGATGATGACCCGGTGCGCTGCTTCCGTAGGGTGAAAGGCTCGCCCTTATCCGCGAACATCCTATCACGCCCGCGTACGCTTGTCTGTATTGTTTGTTCATGATCACGTAAATAATCGGGTTCACGCAGGAGGCGAAGTAAAGCAGCAGGTAACCCAAAACGTGAAATTCTGAGAGAAAGAGAAAGAAAAAATAATATAAATAAATGAATATATTATAATGTTTTTTTCAATTTTCTTTAGATTCTTTTTTAGGAATAATAAAATTGAAAATTAATCATACCTGGATATTTAACTTCGACGTCGGTAACTTTAACAATGGTGATTGGCAGGTAACAAGCGACGAAGCTGAGAAAAATGGCTAGGACCATTTTCGTGATTCGCCATTCGCTACGCCTCTGTTTGATCTCCCTGGTATCCCTTCCGGGTGTATGAGGGGATTTTATCGTTGGACTCGCGTGTTTTCGCATTCTTATCTCGGATCTGGTTAAATCAAAGGAGGAACGAATACGAATTTGAAAATATAATTTATTCTTATATATTTTTCATCGATTATTCTTAAGTTAAGAATAGTGTGAACACGAGACAGAAGATATTACGATATTATGTATAATATAATATTCACCTGTGTACTACCCAGAATATTTTAGTATAGCATCCGACAATGATCAGGCAGGGTATTACAAAACCTACCACGAAAAGGAACGTTTTCGATGTGTGACCTCTGCTATCCCTTACGATCGAACAAGTTTCTAAATTCGAATCGTAATCGAATCTACCTGCAACGTGAGACAAAAATAAGCTTTTAATAAGAAAGATGGAATTGTGGATAAAATTGTTTTTTCTCAAAAAAGAAAAATTTTTTCAATTATCGATGTATATTTTTTAAATTTTAAATTACAACACAAAAGTTATGTATTTTGGATGTAATCAATTTTGAACTTTTTTTATTTTTCTAAATGATGAACATTCTGTCATTTAAAAAAAAAATCACTTATATTTTATATTATATCCCATGTGTTGTATCTTACCCCAAATTTCTAACAGGGTGGGTAATTGCATTCCATAAGAGAAAATCCAACAGAATACAATCATGAAAGCAATCCAATACTTTTTGTAAACTTTGCTGTACAAGCCATTGTGAGCTATCATAATATACCTGAAATAAGAAAAAGTTTTTGAAACTTGTATATATAAAATAATCCATAAATCAATAGCAGAGATTCAATTAACGAAACAATTCTAATTTCTCCGTCATCAAAAACTGATTCAATTGAATTTATTATTAATTTAATGAAATATGATAAAAAATAACAAGGAACATATTGATACTTAAATAATAGCGTTATAATATTAGATACAAAGAATACAATTTAACTAACTGATCCAACTAATAAGACCAATGTTATATCAGTGGACTATTTTAGAACTAATAAAATGTTAAAGAAAGAACCAAGAAGAATAAAGAAGACGATTTGTTTGTAGAACCATGATTATTGCTTTTTTGAACGGATGATTGAAGAGGACTTGTATACAGGGTGTGCCAGAATCACGTGATACGAAACGAAACAGGAGATTTACTCTACATGTGAAAATAAACTAAAAATTACAAATAAAATTTTTTCGTTTGAAGTTATTTGAAATTATTCATTTGTACATCTATGAGAACGAGATAAGAACGAGATCTTTCAGATTTTTTACACTATTGAAAATATTTCGAAGAAACATAATTATGAAAAGAATGTAAATTGCAATGAAGATATGATTCATACCTGTTGATAGTGATAGCTGCAACGGAGAGAAGGCTTACACCAACGTTTCCATATCTTAAGAAAGGTACAAGGACGCAGAAGAATCGTACGTCTGCCCAACTTGCATCTACGAATCTGATGGAGTCGAAAGGCAATACGAGAAGGCAAAATACGAAGTCTGCTACACAGAGACTGCAATAGATAAATTAAAATTTTGATTTGATGTGATCATATGTATATAAAAATATTAATATCATGGATACATAATTGTAGATAAACTATAGACAATAATATTATATTCTAACAAAAATTAAGTTTCATATAAAAGAGATTTTATGTAATTAAGTAATTTTATGTTATTATTTTTTGTTATTTGTATTTATGTTATTATTATGTTATTAATTTTATATTATTACCTTATAATAAAAGCTGCTGCAACATTGCGAACTTTGGGATATTTGCACAATGCAATGATTGTTAATAAATTACCAGTAAGGCCAGTGATCATAATTAATATTGCAATTACAGCTGCAAATGCTCTCAGCGGTTTGGAAAATCTATAAATAAATATAGTATCTTGTTTTAATAAACTGATGATTTATTGAATTATATTTTATAGATTACATATATATTACATATAATTATAATTGATATGAATTATATGATATATTTTATTATTATTATTCTTAAATATTAAAGAAAATAAATAAATCTGTAGAAGTAGTAAAAAGTAAAAATTGCATTGCATAAGTTGATAAAAAGAAATTGAATAAATTTCATTTTTATACATAACTGTTTATTAATTGTTTTTAAGATTTTATTGATAAAAATTTTTATTACCTTGATATTTCGCTATCGATTATTGCGCTTTCTGTTCTATTTTCAGAACGTAACAACCACGCGAAATTATCCATTTCGAAAATTTTCACTTTGTTCCAAGTGAAAGATTTATTCGATTTTGACCACGTCCGAGGACTAAAACAAATAATAATAAAAAAAAAAATGAGACGTTCTTATGAAAAAAAAATTTAATTTAAATTGATTTTATGAAAATAATTTTACTTATCTTAGAATTACTATTTTTACGAAATGAAAAATATACGTGTTTTTTAATAAATTTGTTATATAATAATATAGTAGAAAAAATAGTAGTAGTAGTATAGTAAAATAACGAAAGAAATATATTCGTGCCAATATAATTTTGCTTTATAATTTTTTCACGCGCTATTATAAACGCGGAACGTGAATTCCCACGAAGAGGAAACCGCGACCTAAACTTTTGGCATGATCTGTAATGCATGACGTAAAGCGGAAGTCACGACGCTGCTTTGAAACAATTTCCTGAATCGAATCAGAATCAAAATCTGTTCGATAAAACGATTTAATTCGATTTTGACCTATTTACACAACTATTGCGCAGGAAATTTAATCAACGGTTCGTGGAAAATTATGAGAAATCATCAATTTTGAAGAATTAAAATTTACCACGAAATAATTTTATTTTTTAAACATATACATTAATGCATTTACAAAGTATTATAAACATCAGGTATCGACATTTCTCTAAGATATAAAATATATTTTTTTAATAATAAGATTCATCGATAATTAATAAATTTAAAAATCTCTCTCTCTCTCTCTTTTTTTTAAAATTAACATATAAAACATATGTATTTGTCAAGGTACACCTTGTGTACATCTAGAATGACTGGCACAATATTTAGATATGGTAGGTCATGCAATATCGATAAAGAAACCATGGACTGGTTCAGACTTCGCTGGATTTAGTAAACTAGGGTCAAGCTGCGGTGCATTAACCTCGATTGAGCTTAATTAAGAGAAATTAACGGACACCCGGTACTAGGCGCCCTTTATAACAAAAAACTCATCAAAATTGATGGCAGACATGGGAACCAACAACGGATAATATCTTCTTGTTGTTCTATCTTGTCTTTTCACGCTAAACCTTTACCTCTTTTTTACGATATAAATAATTTTTTCAACAGCATGCCTGTTTCGAAATAATTTCGAACGAGTAAGTAAAATCGTTTTATTTCATTTTTTATCCTGTGCATAAAATTTTTAATTAACAAAGCGTATAAAATATATTTTACAAAAAAATTTCAATCTTCTCTAATATTATAAGAAACTTGTGTGTTAGTTCCAGAATTATTTATTTGAAAATATTTAAAATTACTAATTTCACAAATTGGTACGCAAAATATATTTATTAAATTATAAGCATATTTATCCAACACAAAACATCGATATTTTGTACGCCAATTTTTCTGTTCGTTTCGAATCAACCCTCGAAATATCATAGAATACATTAACGCTCTATTACATCAGTTCGATAACATATTATAATTCAAAGAACAAAGAACGAATAAATTTGTATTCGTTAAACTCGTATGCACGAACCTTCGCATATTCGATCGTGTCGTAAGTAGGAAATTGCTCGAGCTTCTTTTTCAGCTCCATCTATTTCTATCTCATCGATGCGTTCAACTCGAGCTACTGGCAAGAGTAAGAGATGATGGTGTACGTATTTCTCGTATTTCACTGGTACACCTTGACGCGTGACAAAACCGCGGGAAAGACGTCACGTTGTCTTTCATAGAATCGGCGGTGAACCGGCTGACGTCACCAAATGATTTCCAAGTTAATCACGCGGCGAATGGCAATGAATGAGTCAACTTGACTCACGGTGAAAGTGTCTAAGGACCCGACGAGTCGCAGGACGATCGGCACGCGTGCTGCGCTCATGCAAATCGGCTGATTATCTTGTTTATTGCCGATGTACTTTTACTCCGGGGCGATGACTGCTTCCATTCATGGCAAGACTGGATTTCGGGATGAATAATGCGTCTGGTGTGAATAAGATATGATGTATGATTTGTTAAATGATTGTTTTCGAGTACATCTCGAGCGTGAACCGATATCGGTAACCGATAAAAAAATTTATTCGTCATAATGAAGCTATATTGTTCCTTAACTAAGATTGGAACTAAGATTTATTTCAAAATGTTATATATACAGATGGTTAAAATTAAGGTACAATTATGGAAGTAATTAGGTATGTATGTTTCTATCTAGATAAAAAGTAATATTAATTTTAATAAAAGTCGATTGACAACTCGGTTTGTTAAATAAAATTAAATAAAATTTTGTGTTAAGAGATTAAACAAATTAAATGAGTTTTCAGAATTATGCGATGTTTGATATAATTAGACATAGTTGGTTTGATGAAATTGGAAAGAAATAAGAAATATAAGGGTAAGATTCGAAAGAAATTAGGAATAGAAATAGGGACTAGTTAAACTCAAAGATTTCAGAGAAAACATACACAGTGACTCAGGATTGGTAGAACGCGTTTCGCTTGTTTTAAGGATAGGAAGAAAAAATATTCACAGCGTGTTATGATATGAAAATAAAAAGAAATGGAAACCGCAAGAATTACGAAAGAGGAAAAATAATCAGGGAGGATAACGTGATTAAACACATTCTAAGAAATATGTTCAAAGTCAGAGGTGAACACTTGGTTTGTGGTAAAAGAAACCGGAGAAGGAAACAATTGTGACACGTTATTGAGACAGTGATCGTATTCTTAGCTGTGTATTAATATTGTTAAAGCACTGATACAGAATGCAAATTGAAATTTACGAGCGCTCGTATTTCGAGAGTAACACGTGAGTGCTCTCATACATGTGCATCGAGTTCAGGGAAAGCTCACCCACGCGAAAGAAACCAGGTAAACAATATATTTAATATCAAAACAAGTTTTTAATAATCGATATCTTAAACTTTTACAATTACAAATGAGTGAAATATGATTTTCAAATGAACCATTTAGATATTTCAATAATATTTAAATAATTAATCTCAAACTTTTGAAGCGAATATGTGTGATTATTTTCAAATTCGAGTTATAATTCAATTTATAGTTTTACTTACTTCGTACTTTATCAAAAGTAAAGAAAAGAATTGAATTATATTTCAAAAATTCAAATTGCGATAAGTTACATGTAATAAGAATGTTACATAACGTGTTATATCAACTATTATAGATACAAACTAAGTACGTGTATTTTACGAATAAGAAAGATAATTTAATTAAAAATATAAACGTTTAGTAAATGTTTCATTTATGAATGTAACTTAACCAATTTATATCATATTTTTTTTTTTACATGTAAAATAAAATGTTAATGCATATCTATACGCTATATCAATTTACGTTATATTTATATCAATTTATAATTTATTATTTTACCAAACTTGATGACGATGACGTAAAAGTGCAAGGGGTTAATGTATCGAGACAATAAGAACAAGGTTAGAAAATGGAACAGATGCTCATTGCAATTGAGGATTCATGCTAGTTTCCAAGAATTCTAGATTGCCTTTAATTGAACACTATCGCTGTTAAGTGGCAGTGTTGGTTAAAATTTTTCGCATCTATACGTCGATAATTATTACGAGCGAAATGCTTTCTAAACGAGAGAAGCAAATGTATCTAATGTGCCTTCGAAAACATTATAAATATTCCATAGTGGGATTTACTAAACACAAACAAAACAGACTTATGCAAATCAACGGATGGATAATAAATTCGAAGAAGTTGAACATAATTTCTCCATCGAATAGTAATGAAAACGATTCGTAAAAGTAACAAGAATTAAAAATCTTCATATTTTTTTTTAAATTTAAATTTTCAAAATTGAATAAGAATCTAATTAATTCTAGGAAAATGAGAAACAATGATGAAAGAAGAATATTAAAAAGAATCCTGAACAATTTCATAACTGCAATTATTAAATCACAATACAACAATGGATATCGATTGAATAATAATAACACAACAAATATCGTGTCAACGCACGTTACACCTCAATGGGATAAGTTCGAAGCTACGATCGAGTCGTGACACATTCGAAACCCGCCCACAGTACACCACGTGCTATACCACGTCGTCTGTGGAGCTACAGAGCCGCGATTAGGGAGACAGTGACAAAGAAATGGCACGAAAAAGGAGGAGAAAGATACACTGGCAACATGCGTATCGCGTATTGTAGTGGCCTTTTTTTCATTTCAAAAAAGGTTGGTAAGGCTGTAAGGAAACCCATGCGTCTGTTTTTTTTTCCTCGATCTTGGCATTGGTCCTCAAAATGACGCACATGTCTCGAGACCGATTGCCGTTCGCTTCGTCAACAACTCTCTTCGCCAACTATCGTTTCTCACGTCAACTTGTTCGAACGACACTTGAACGACACTTGAAAATTGCACTCGACCGTCATTCTCATATTTTTCTCGATAAAAATACAAGGAGGGAAGTTATAGGATCGACGAGGATGCAAAAACAAAAAAAAAAGAGAGAGAGAAAAACACGCGAGTTTCGATTCTGACTCACCGCATTAATTCCTTTCACGAATCATCCGTCATAGCTAATGATTGACGTCCGAAAAATACATCAGGAAAATCATTGATTCCTCTTGCATCTCGAGCAATACAATGTTGAAAAGAAAGTACAGTTTCATGCAGTTTTATCCAGAGAAATTCATCAATTAATAACGTAACGTCAACGTAAGATCAATCACTTATAATCAAGATACTTTTCTTTGCTCAGTTTTTTTACGATATATCAAATTAACACGATGGCTAATACGAAGCGTTACTCGGAGGAATAGTTTGCGATTTCTAGGAATGTGTGACACATCTCTATCGATAGAGATCCAGAAAACGGAAATCGATTGTCACGATAACTGAAAGCGACGGAGCGACGTACAATCGGCCTGTTCGTCACCATCACCGCGGATAGACTGCTTACCATGGTAGATACGGGCCCAAAGAAGTTGAGAGGAGTGAGAGAGAGAGAGAGAGAGAGGGAGAGAAGGAGGATCGGACTTAGGCGAATGACGACAAGCATAAATGCAGGCTGCGTGTTGACATGTAATGTAATCATATATGAGAAAAGAGAAAAATCCAGTGTTTATTTTTTTTTTTTTTTTTTTTTGAAAACATCTCTAATATATTTTTAAGTATTTTTATTTCTAATGGGAAAAAGTATAATTTTTTTTTTTTTTTTTTAGAAAGGAAAGAAAGAAAAACTTTGAACTGTCCATAAACTTTTATTACAGAATAAAATTGGACTTTCAAAGGATTATCGATAAGTGATTTTTTGCAATTTCATTAATATAAATTATTTTTGTTAGATGACTTAAATAAAAAATAGATATTTAAAAAACCAATGATGTAACTATTAAAATAAAATTTCGTTCCTTAGGCTTATTTAAAATAATCGCTTTCTTTATATTAACGAATTAAATCAAAAATATAATTAACTTTGTAGATTATTGTAGAAGCGTTGTTAATTTAAAATCGACAATATTCCTTTTACTTTTCTTTTACTTCCTTTTACTTTCTTCTAATAAACGAGTTTTTCTCCAAAACCCGCATCCGGGTACCAGGAATCAAAGTCACATTAATTCGTCGAGATAGATCGAAAGATCGATTGTATCTACGAATTTTTATCGATTAAAATTTTCGCGGTCATGTGCATCGATTATTTGAATTTATTACGGTTTAACGTGGTCGACACACGGAAAATTAAACCGATTTAGGTCGAAGTTTTTATAGAAAGGGGACTGAACGAGCGGTCCCTTGACAATAAATCGTCAAACGTTTGCTTTTTATTAGAGATGGGGGTGTAACTCTAAGGCTTAATCTGGGGCAATATGTACTCGCTCCCAACGAGTAATAATACGAACGACAACACTTTAACGATGATAGTATCTACTTCAATCCGATCGCACTTTAAACGATCATCGATCTGAATCACAGTTTCTGCGAACGTCATATTCGAGGAAACGCGTCGTTTAACGGGAAAGTATTATCTGCTTTCTAATTTGTACAATGAATTGTAAATTCTTTACGAGATATTTTAACACGATAATTAAATTGGATTAAATCAAAAAAAAAGGGAAAAGTTTTTGTGAATACTTTTTAACGTAACGAATATAATATTATATTATTCTTATAATAATAATAATAAAACTCGTCGAGTTATTATTACTCCAAACTACTTATTTATGCATAATAAATATGTCTTGCGATTAACTCGTCATTTTACCAAGATTATTCAATCTCATTAAGACTTTGCTTAAAAATTAGTTGCAACGTAACTATCCTCCAACCAAGCTAACATTTTCGGTTTAGATCGAATTAAATCAACCCCTGTCCTGAAAATCACTTGTGTGTCACATATACGGGACACTTCCGCTTTAATTGATTAATTACATTTACCGATCGAGCACCCTTCTCGCCAAAGAAGAAGAAAAAAAAAAAGAAATAAAAGGAGAGGAGAACGCTGGCACTTCCGATTTTATTAGGGGCGCGGTACCTCCTCTTCCGTTGCAGACTCGCTCGAAGACCCAACCGCTTTTTATCCCCCTTTCCACGATGTTACCACCGCTAGCCCCGGTAAACGAAATGTAATTATTTTTAAAAAGGATGTAGGGACCGCGAGTGTGTGTATGTATGTGTGCGTGTGTTTTTAAGCGGATGGAACGCGTGCGTTCAAATAAAGCGTAGGTGCTTTAAAAGTAAGCATCGGGGATACGGAGATGCGCGACGTTTCTATAAATCATTCCTCGCACGATGTACACCTACATCGAGAAGCTTTCATGCGGATAAAGATTGCGTGATTTGTAATGTTGGGCCGGGCCGGAAGTCTCCTTGGAAAAAGAGGGACCGAGGGATTTACGCGGAATTTTAAGAAGACCGCACCGTGTGCTTTTTCTCCTTTTCCTTGGAACAAACGATTTTACGTAATTTTACTTGAATATTATTATTTTTAATTTTATCTTTAATTTTTAATTTTACTTTTTGATTTTCTTAATTTTTCAATTTTTTTTTTAAATAAAGGAATTTGAATAATGATTTTTTTGTAATTTATTAGTTTTTCATTGCTTGGAACGAACGATTTTACGTAATTTTATTTGAATATTTATTTTTATTTATTAATTTTACTTTTTTATTTTTTTAATTTTTCAAATAAAAATTTTTTTTTTTTTTAAGTGAAGAGAAAGATTTTTTTTCATAATTTGAAAAATTTGTTCCTTTTCTAATTTTTATTGAAATTTTTTTTATTCTCATTTTTAAAAATTAAATTTTTCTAGATTATTAAAAGATACAAGCGAAATCATTTCACTTCAACTTCGAAGCGATAATTCTTTCACGTTTCATCGTATATACAAATTAGGTTTTGTAAACCAAACGATCTAAGTAAGATAATTTGATAATGACTATTATATTTTACAAGTAGACTAATAAAGGTTTATATTAAGCTACGAAAATGAAAGAAATTTTTGCTTAAATCTATGAATATTTTGTGATAGCATAATTGCGATTGCCGAGACTCGTAATATATCTTGTTAAGAATCGACGCCTCCACGTTGTGGTTAAACGTCGTTTGTCCAACGAGTTCACTGATTTCACTGTTGATGTCTTACCGCCCTCGGATTTGTTAACAGCTCGAGATTGAAAGAGACCGCTGTAATTCACGAAGAAATCTTGTTAAATAGATTCTATTTATATTACCGATTGTAATCTTTATTACCTTTCATTCCATCAGTTTATTTTTAAATAATTAAATATAAATGATTAGAAAGAGATTCAAACTGAGCGTACGAAATAATAGAAATAAGTTTACATTTACATTATTTAAAAAAATATTTTTTACAAACAGATTATTGTATCGAAAGATTGATTATCCAAAAGTGTAATTTTCACTTTCAACACCGTTCGATCGAACAAATTATTATATGTTCTCTAATATGTTTCTCTTAAAGTTTTACTCTCAAATCGATAAGTGTTTTCATAGAGAAAGAGAAAGAGAGAGAGAGAGAAGGAGAGCTGAAGTGTTTTAAATGATTTTGCCAATTCTATTGTCGATAGAAACAAAATATTGAGCACGCTTCAGTATTAAATGTCGATCATTCATCAAGCATAGTTCACTTTGCATATACACTTCATCGCGTAAACTTACGAGATTCTCTCGAAACTCGCTAAAATAGAATTTCACATGGTGGAATAGATGTTCCTCTTGTTCGTGAAGGACACTAACCTCACGCCTGCGCTTTATTACGATCCAGAAAGCTCATCTGTGGAAGCAAATTCGATGATCCAGTTAATCGGTTAGTCGCTTTCCGAATTCCGCAATAGATACGGATTTCTATCACGATTTTTATTTTCCAGTGAAAAATTTTCTGGTGGAATTTTAATCGTGAAAATAAAACACATTAAATTTTTCGATATCGAATCTCTTTAACTCTTCGTCGTTTTTATGATACATCTAATTCTGTTTTTACACGCTAGGAATCGTTTGTATATTTATTTTCTTTTCTCAAAAAAATCACATGAAATGTAACATAATATACAGTGTATATGAATCAGTGAAAGACTTATTTGATTTAAACAAATAATTCGCTCGTGTTTTAAATATTCGTTATACATTTTTATCGATATTCATGATAAAAAAAAAAGTGAAAAATTCAGAAATTTTTTAAGAAAAACGAGAAAATGAAATTCCATTGATAAAGATCTAGACGGAATCTAAGTGAAATTAATCGTGAGAGATAAGATGATAATAAAATAAAGAAGGGAAAGAAGATTATTAAAATGTAATTCATTATAAAAGTGTCTTCTTTTGTTCGTGGCAACAAATGATTCGCATCAATGAACTCAGAACCAATGACATCGTCAACTTTCTACGAAGGTAAGCTCTCTTCCTGTTGATTCTAGGTAAGGATTCGTGTGAAAGGAAGGATTGTGCTGATGATAACAGCTCGCGTTAGTTAAAACAGCTGACAAAACACGAATTCGTTGGTTCGTTTATCATTCGTTTATGTGAAATTTTGTAACATTGCACTGAATAATAAGGAATTATAATTTTCATTTGAATGATTGAATAATTGAAAAAATATGTATACTATAAATCCATTATTATTATTTCTTATTTGATTAAAATTAAAAATTAAAAATTAAAAATTAAAAAATTAAGTTTATATCAAATTCTTATATTTCATATTATATTTTTTCCTTATTATCTAAACACAGTAAAAAAAAAAAAGAACGATAAAATGACANAAAAAAAAAAAAGAACGATAAAATCACATTAATTATTTAAAATAATTAAGTTGAAAGTTAAAAGAATAGTTCTACATCGATTGTCTCTTATTAAACATAGTTTCTTCGATATATGAAGATTTTAAAGGCATTCTCTCTTGAACTCTGCGATCCCTTAAGAACACAAATTGAACGGAAGGTAAAATCAGATTGTAAAGTTTACTCTTAGGTTGAAAGAGTTTACCGTTTCGTGTGGCGAAAATAGATTTCTCTTCGATACTCAATGTGGAGAAGAAGAAACGAAAGAACTTTGTTATACTTTTTCGGAAATTAAGAAAAAAAAAAAATCATATCGAAAAAAGAAGAAAGTAAATAAATGATCAGAGAAAAAAAAGAGAGAGCATTTTTCTAGATGAAATTAAATGATTTTAATTCATATATAAAATAGCTAACGTAAAATCACTTTTAAATATAGTGTTTAAATATTTTGATAACATAAATAAATTTTAAATTTTAAACGAATTACAATATATATAATTATGACTCGATTATTTTATGTAAAATTGTAAAATTATAAACGTGTATTAATTGAACATTTGAGTTGAGTAATAAAACTACTTAAAGATATGCGAATTAAATGGGTGTGTCATGAACCAATAGG